CAATTTCGGTAAACGCTTTTTGGGCTGAACGGGGGCGTATACGCAATATATTATATTATATTCCGCACTGACCAGAAATTGTTGTAAGCCCACGCCAACGCCATAAATAATTGAAATCTGGCATATTACCGAATGCTACGAATTGTTCAATTCAACAATTGCCATGTCGACCAGTGCATTAGTGGTGAATTTGTGTACGGAAAAGTTAAATGTTATCGAGAGCAGCGTTTGCGGCGAATTTATAAATATTATTTTAGAGCCTAGAGAAACATTTATTGATGAGTTTTTCCCCGTTTAAAAAGAGCAACTTTTAAGGAAAATCTGTCATAACCAAGTGAAAAGCAAATTATTATAAAAGGTATTTTATAAAGAAAATGCTATTCATTTAAAATGATTGAAGAGCAATGTACTTAATTAGAATAAGTGTACTCTACTATTCCTTTAAATTTATATACTGTCATTTTCTTGAAAAAAACCTATTAAATTAAATTAAATTACTAACGAATCAGATAATATAACAATATTGATTAATCATTTTCAAAGTTGCACACAAAGCGGACTTAAAACCGATTTCAACAAAAATTCTTGAAAGTGTAATAAAAATCAAGCTAAAACAAATTTAATCAATAATTTAAATTTCCGTGTACCGTTTATGGGGTAATAAACATAATGCGCATATACATTTTTATGTGGCCTTTGAATATTTATTGAATGGTTCCATGTCCTGTGCATAGATAAAAAATAGTATCCTTTCCCTTCTCTGTCCGCTCTATCATTATGGCTCTGATTGGACGACGTGGCGGGGGTTCCGAGGGCACACACACATCCTGTAGTGTCTTGACTGTTTAGCCTGGCAGCGGTTGAGCACTTGATGGGCGCCCCCTATCCACACTCACATCCACGTTAAGTGGGGTTCATGAACCCGCACTATTCCCCGCAGAAGTCGGGCATTAACGCCAGTTAGTGGTCCGCATCCGTGTCTATATGTGCGCGGGTATATACATATGAGACTCGAGTTGTTTCGCTTTGCCTGTTGTGTTTACGGGCATATCGGGTGCGAGGGTTCTGGGTGATTAAATGGATTTGATTTTCCCCTTTTTTCCCAGGCCACGGGGCACACTGTGATTTGAGCCGGTGCTTAAATGTTTGAGGTCTGGCTCCACTTAAAGTTAACTCTACTCCGCATGCCAGGGGTAGATTCGAGTTTAAAGACCGAACGGTTTGTCCCCTCGTTTGAATGCCATTAGGAGCATATTCTCATTCCCTGCAATTTCCGCTTAATGCAATTTAAAATCAAATTGCATTTTATTCGAAGGCACCGACGTACTTCATTAGCAAACTCCTCAACAAATTCATTACGGCTGTGCAGCTGCCAAAAATCTAGGGCAGAAAATCTCAGCACCCGGCTGAGGCTGCCGGAGACCAGACACTCCGGCCAGAAGAACGGCGAACACCTCCGTCTGTCCCTGTCTGCATCTGTATCTGTGTTTGTATCTGTATCTGCGTCTGTGTCTCCGCATCCGCATTCGTATCCGACTCTTGCGATTGTGTGTTCCTGGCGGAGAAGTGTTTGTTTAAGTGCGGAAATATTTAAAGTGTCACATACGCTCTTCGGAAATTAAATGTGAGTGTTGCTTCACGCTCCAGAAACGAGCAGCGGAAGTCAGCAACCTACACTGTACAGCCGAGTTAGGGGAGAACGATCTCTGTTCTCAGTGTGGTAGGCCACAAGAACTGAGGCTGCTAATTTGCCCAGTTCTTTATTTTAATTCATGGCGAGCCTGTGAAGATTGTGGAATTTTCAGGACTAAAAGGATCTAGTTGAATTAAATTCTTATTACGACAATTAATAGTTAAGAAATGTAGAAAATAAATTTTTTTATAAGGAGATCTTAATATTTAATCAAATTATTTTTAAACTTAGATAAAAAATGCATGGAATGTAAATTGGATCGCTCCTGTGTGAGCTCCCAAAATGGTCATTCCTTGGTCTCCACTCGAGGTGTGCAAAAGAGGAGGGCTGTTGCCTGGGGGCGTGGCACTGGGGCAAAGCAAATGACGCCCATTGCCTTTGTTAACCCCTTTTCACCTGCTATTTGTTTCTGGTTTTGCTGGGCGTGCTTTCCACTGCATACTTTCGAGTGTTTGTTGTGCATATTTCCGGTGGCCATTTTGTTGGGGGCGCTTGTGTGTGTGCGAGTGCCTGTGTATTGGTGTTTCGAGAGTTCTGCGGTTACTTTTGAGTGTTTTCGTGTGTTTGGCCGCTTTTGTGGGTCGTTTTGCGGTGCGTGTATGTTTTACGTGAAACTGTCGTCTAAGTACACACACGTATGTATTTAATTATATTGTCGGTGGCTCTGGTCTCGTTCACGGAACTTTCGGATGGCTTTAGTCTCGGAATTGTTCCACTTATTGTTTGCTTGTGGCGCACTTTAATCTTATTTCCTTGCCAACAGCACCACACGTTCGGGTTATTCCATGTTTTTCAAGCGATTTCCCCAATGCATATTCGTCCAACTTTTAATTAAGCATTTGTGCTGGTCTGCTGGCACTCGAAATTTGTTTGCTCGACTTTTTGTTTGCTTCCGTAACGCATTTCGCGTGATTTCCAAATTATATTTGCAATGACACATTTTTATGGCATCCTCAGTGGACGACTAAAAAGTTTTTCCACCCTGCTCAAAAGGAATTATCATGGCTTGCATGCATTTTTAATTAAGTCGATGGTTGGTGCGGGTTTTTCGATGAGCTTATAATAATGCCACTGTGCGGAGCATAATGAGATCAAAGTTTTGAGCTGCTGCGGGAGCCTCGACACATGTACAATCGAAAATTTAAGCAAACGATTTAAAACTTAATAAACACAAGGATAGTTTCTCTCCATTTCTGAAGCTCGCACTTTATTTATTGCGCATACGCATCGAAGACCGCCAGCTGAACGCTCTAAGCGTCTTCTCAACTATATGGGATTACATAATAGAAACCGCAAATAAATATAAAGCGAAGCTGAGCTGCTTCGATTCTGATTCCGACTACGATTCCAATGCAAACATGTGTCTCCGTCCACGGCGAAATGCACAAATGCGGACAAAATAGTAAGACTTGGAAATGTTTAAAAATATTCTTAGTTTTATAGTATAATTTAATGGCAAATGATATCGTGTCTCACATTAAAGTGAGAAAATTTCAAAATTTTTACGTTAAACTGCCAAAATCATAATATTGAAGAAACGGAATATTGTGGCGTTTTCTTCTGACCTTTGCTGTAGCTATGTCCTTTGAATCCTTCATAAACATCAGCAAGTAGAGCAAAGCAAACGAAGGCGCCTTGCTAGCCACCTTGGGCCATACATTCATGAGTGGCACCGTACTCCCCGCCGTGCGCTGACTTCTCCTCCTCGAGGCTTCTGCACGGGGGGTCGACTGTGCTGTCTGAATGGAGGTCAAAGTGCATAACTTAAGTAGCCGACAATAAAATGCATAACATGGCACACAAAACACAAACAGACAAGCCGGGCAGCAAAGGAAAACTAAGTACAACCCGTACGAAAATGTGGAAAATATGGCTCTATTTATTTGTACATTAGGGCACGCCAAGACGTTGAAAAACTCGGCGTACATACGGCGCACTCCGGAGTAAGGCGAGTGTAAGTGTGTTGTGTGTGTCCTGTGGCATGTTGTACCTGCTTCAACAGCTGCTAGCAAAAGGCCAAGTGTTGTGCTTGACATGAACACAAGGCAGGCACAGAGGGATTTCTGTATTTTTTTCCCAGGCTCCGTGTCTTTCCCGCTGCGCCGTAATAATTTCATGCTGGGATGGACTTAACCAGAGACATGCCGATTTATCTAATGCGGGACTGGAGGGGAACAAATTTATTAAAGAAAAAGCGGCTCCGGAACCATTTTACATAAGGTGTGCTCGAAAAGGATTTAATTGCCAGACGCTCTTTAAATGTTTGCTGAAAGTAGTTACGATAAATATATTTAAGTTTGTTATTTAATCTGAAATGTGTGACATATTTGAGAAAGTTTAAATATAAATTGAATAAGCATTTGCGGGCTTCTGAAAATGCATCATATAATACAAAACCCTTAGTTACTGCAATTTAATAATAGTGTTTATAAATATCGTATAAGCTATGGAAAAGTGAAAACTTAACAAACTGTTTAACAACAAATTAAAGACACATTTGAACCAATCCCAAAAGTGCTGAATTTGTAAAACGTTGAAAGCTTCACAAAAGTTTTGCCAAAGAAAAAAGTTTTCTCTTGAATTTTCTCTTCTCAAACTTGTTATTGTTGGTTAAATATGTATATTATTGTGTATATCTTCAACGGAAAAATAAGAACGAAACTAAAACGAAAATTAAATAATGAAATTCTCTATATTGGCAGACAATTTAAGAAGTGATTCGTCATTTTTTGGGATTTAAGTGTTTAAATGGCTGAGCTGGGGAGTTCAAAAATATAAATTTTAAATGTGTTGATAAAGGAATTGAGAATTGGGTTGAGCTCTCCAGTTCATAACATTTAGTTAATATAACAAATAAATATTAATCAACCAATATTAAAAACATATTTAGCAAATATATAAATCGGCTCCACTGCATTTTACAAGTGAACATTACCCAGCCAAAAAACGAATTCGATCGGCTTTCATTTAATTGTTCCGGGATAGGGGCGCAAATCTTGCACAAAAATCAATTACAATCAGCGCAAGTTTCTTGGTTTATTCGCGATTTTTGGCATTAGTGTGCCATTGTTGTCCATTGTTGACTGCGAGTGTCCCACTGGGGAAGCTCCTCACAAAAGCCAACCGCGTAATTAAGCTTTACGTACCGAGAGTAAATACCCAGAACGGGTAACACACGCACACCCGTAACCACAGTGAGCCACCAAATGTTAACAATGCACATTACGCATACGCCACGTTGCGATGATGTTCCGCTTGTTTCGTGCCCCACACTTACGGTCTCTGCCGCACTCTCTTCTCTCCGCAGATACCAGGACATGTACAACAATCCGATTAAGGCCACTAATTTGGAGCATCGTGACGTGGTCCTGGACATACTGTCCGATGCCCGAGTGGTCGGCCCGCTGCTGCAGACGGGGATGTTCCACGCGGATGTCAATCGGCGCAATTATATGTACGTATTTGGCCATAACAGCGCGACGGGACCGTTTGCCCACGTAAGTATTAGCCCTCCTCAATGCCCAAATGGCGATTCCAATTACATACTCTACAGCGCATTTAAATTAAACGCCCGCGGTCCGACCGGAATAGACCCAGCATGAGTTGGCATCTAATGAGTTTCCATAATGTACTCGATGCCTCCCCTTCCCTCTTTCCACCATTGTGGCCGTCCAATAATGGAACAATAATGCTGAAAAGTTTGTGCCACTGGGCCGTTGAGTTCAGTTCATCACTGGCGGCTGACGGTGCTCGTTTTTGGCTTTTTGGCCAAAACAATTCGCAAGTTTGCAGCTGCCAATGGGAAATAATAGTATTGAAGGCATTGAACCCCGCGGCAACAGAAATGGATAAATATTTGCACAGGAAAAAAATTAATAAGATTCCAAATTAAGGAAAATATTTTTTCATTAGAATATAAAAGATGAATATACTATTTTTAAAAACTAAGTGGAGTATTTTTTTTTAGAAAGAAATATTAAATATAACAGCACCTATCAATTTGATATTTTGTCCCATTTTTTTCTGTGTGCATGACATATTAATTTTATTTCATATTTTAAAATTTCACTTTTACTCATAGCAAAAACAATTTTCGTTATAATTTTTCCGGGTGCACCGAAAAATATAAGAGGCGCTGAAATCCAAAACAAAAACACAGCCAGACAAGTTTAGCTCGTGTCCTTTTGCCAAGCAGACGGCATCCTCTTGACTTAGGGTTCATTTGTGTCCGAGGAGGGGTCACTTTCCAGGAGCGGGGGTGGAGACTGGCCCTGGTTATGGTTATCTGTGTCCTTGTCCCACCGACTTGGCTCGGCTTTTATGGCTTTGTCATGCTTATGGATTTGTTACTGATTGCCTCGCAGAGATAGCTTTGTGTTGCTATGAAGCTGTCTTGGCCTCGGACCTTTGCTACTCTACAGTTAAATGGGCATATTGATTTGTAATTAAGATGATTGGATTGATAGGCAAATGGGGAGTGCTGTTTGGACGCGTGGAATAAGTAAACATTTCCAGGGAATCCTTTCATCTTCCCGCTGATTTCCCCGCGGTTAGGGTCCTCGGAGTTTCGCCTATGCTTCGCCAAAGCAGAAATTGCTCAGCAGACGGAGACAAAAGTTTCGCAAACAACCCATACAGAAATAATGAATTTGAAAACAACTCAAACAGGGATCCAAAACAAAGGAGACACCCCCTCCGCCGGGCGGAAAGTTATTATTTCGTATTATATTTTTGGCAACTTTTAGCCTTGCGCTAAGCGAATTTTTATGGCCACAGTAGTTGGCCATAAAACAAACTGCAACTGAAACTGCAAAAAGATGAACAGCTCGGGGACAGGGCCCTTTGGATGCGACCAAACAGCCGGTGGCAGTCGGGGTGCAACAACTTTTTAATAGCCCGCAATTAAAGTATGAAAATAAGTCTGATAAATTGCCAACGGTTGCCATCGACTGAAAGTAGCCAAATCACACAAAAGAACATGTTCATGCCCCCTGATATATGGCCGGATTCAGCAGCCAGGCATCGCATTAGTTGCGAATAAATTGCGGGAATAAAATTCACTTAAATATTTCATGCTGCTCCCGGGAAGCCTTAAACATGAAAAGCGGATCCCAAGGATATTCGGGCGTGCCTACAAATTATCGCCGGCTGTCCTGTCGCCAACGCAACCTACTCGTTTCTTTCTAGTCCTCTTGCTATTGCTGTTTCTATTTTTCTTTTCCTTGCTTTACTTTGGGGGACCAGACAGGAAAACAGTCAGACAACTTAAGGCCCACACAATCGCACAACATTCTGGCTCTTATTTTTTTTATTTATGCCAACATCTTTCTGTTGCCGCATTCTCTGTTTGTCAGGGCCGAAGACGAAGCCAAGAGAGCTCGACTGAATGCGAATGAATTTGTGCATAAACTGCGCTTCTGCACTCCATCTCGAGCGTCAGCCACTCACTAACTTGAACCACGCCCACTCAGCAGACTCCCCAGCCCCGCCCTCGCCCTCGCCTCCGCAGCCCACAGCTTCTTTGACTATCTGCCTTGGGCCGCGGGCTTATTGTGAAACTTTTTGGCACATGTCTTGCCTGTTTGCCTCAGCCCGAGCCTCAGCCTCAAAACGGGCCAAAGAGACTACTTACGTACTTGGCTTGAAGTGTCCGACCATTCCATTCCGCTGGGACGGAACTGCGCCTCGAGGCGATTGTTAAAAATAGCGAAAATTATTCCAAGCATAGATAATTCCAGCGAAATGGTGGCTGTGCTTAAAGCGAGGCTTAATTGATTTAATCCCAGAGACAGCGTAATAAAATCTACAAAATATACTACTTACAGTATAAATGGTAATGAGAACAAAAGAAAGTAAATAAGAAATAGGTTGGGTAATTTAATAAAATATAGTTTATTGAGAAAGACATTTTGGTAAAAGAAATTATTCCAATTCGAGAAAGAAAATAATTTGACCTTGGCAAATATTAAAGTAAAGGAATATTAACTAATAAACTAAAGACTTATGATCAATTTATGTTTTTAAAACTATACTTCTTTTCAAATTCTAGAATTATTAAGCATAAAGTGCACCAAAGACTTTCTCTCCGATATAGGACTTAAAGCCTTGCTAAATTCTTAAGTGTCGCGATTTTCCAAGATTTCCAAGAACAGACATTTCCACCAAAATGGGAATTGTGCGTAAAGTACATCCTAATTGAATTTAATCCCGAAGACAAAACGCAAAATGCGCACACAAATAAACAACATGGGGATTGTACAAAATTGCTGCTTTGGAGATTTTTCTATTCGCCTTTTTCTAATTTCCCAGGCTGAGCAATAAACTCAGCGAGCCGAAAACTTTGGCAAAACAAGTTCCAATTTATTTGGGCATAATCGAGGGAAAAGAGATGAAAACGACTTCGGCTCGAGGACAGTTTAATAAGTTTTCCATATTAAATTTAGCATTTTCCCAGGGGCTCACGCATACACAGACCCACGTAGACAAACGTCATTATCAACGCATTCTAAACGCGGTCAGCATCCGAAGAATTTTCCGCAAAAACCCCACAAATAAAAAACATTTGAAGTATGTCCCGTCTGGTCGGTTTCTTTTTTCTTGACAAAGTTTTTTTCGTCGACTATTTGGGCATTTCCCCCAGCTCAACGGACTTTCTCCTTCTGATAAGAATGCGAAATGGCTGAGGAAGGAAAAGAAATTTATGAAAATAAAATAAATATGACTGAAACTAAAGTTTTTATTTTGGTGCGTGGTTGAAAGTTTGCGACCGCAGTCCGCAAAAAGGTTTCCGAAACTCGAGTGTTTGGCAAATACTGAAAAACGTGCCGGTTACGCTTAATATACAGCATACTTTCTGAGGCGAAAAGTCGGCGAGGCAAAATATTTAATTACCGACACACAAAAATACCAATTTAAAGAGGACCTGGCCTCGCCCAACTCTTGCGTAATCCAATAAAATTATAGAAAGATGAGAGCAAATTGTGCGGCATGGAATGCCCTCCTCCAGCCTCTCGGAGAATTCACGCCCAGGCAATTGCCTCAGGTTTCGGATCCTTAGTTACACCGTAAAGCGTTTTGCCCTAAGCCAATTCGGGGAAAATATTTTTGGAAATTTTACACGCTGCGAGTGCCATTAACTCCATTAGGTTTATTACGACAAATGGCGCTAAGTCAAATTGTTGCTTCCGTTGCCGTGGGCACAAACGCCTCCTGTTTTTGAGTGGGCAAACGGAGAGGCATAAATTACGAAAGTTACGCATTCATTCCAAATTGAATTTCCGCCTCCGCACCGGTAATTTTTTATTTGCAACTTTAACGCAAGAATCGCTGGCCAATAAAGATAATTTGTTGCAGGAAGTCAGGAAGCCCACGCTTCGGCCAATCGAATAAATACATAAATAATTTTCGGACGCGCTTTAATTATGCATCCACATCGCGGACTAATATTTAATGTGCAGAATTTAAACGGAAGTGTTTAATTAAAATTTTTAGGTTTTATGTCAACATTTGCAGTAAAATGTGTGTTTATGGGGAATTTACATTTTTCCACCGCTGCAAATATGTAAGAATAATATTTGCGCTCGCGAGCACTCAATTTGATTGATATGAAAATATTCCTCTGTCCATTTCCCCGGCATGTCAACAGAATGCTTACAGTAAAAATAAACATACGCCCGTCTATCGGATCAATTTCAGTCGTAAAAAACCTTAAAGATTCGCTTTGATTTCGTTACAAGGCCATTGAACCGAATATTCATCACCAAACGCTCAACAAAAAGCTTAGACTAAGCCTTGCCAGGCAGGAGCCATATTGAATTCCGCTCGCTCGTTTCATCAAATTCTCACACAATTGCAAAATGAAAATCAAAAGCGAAATTCATCATTCATAAATGCCATAAAAGATTTCAGCGGCGCAGAGGACATCGTCCGAGGCCAAAAGAACAGTCAGCAGCTCGGGGACAGTGTCATTTTGATGTCCTCAGACAGAAATGCTTTGTGACTTTGTTACATTTTTCATGGCCACAATAAAAACTTGGCTTTATTACCTACTTACATTCAGCGACTGCCTCCGGCGTTTTCCCTGGTTTCCCTCGTTTCCCACGTTCTGGCCCTGTCTTCGGCTAGCTAAATATTTATGCAGGCCGTCTAAGAAGATTGATGCCGGTTGGTCACAATGGCCAAAAAGGAGCCGTTAAAATACTGCTGAAAACATTTCACACCGATCTCCGACTCACCGAGTACCCAACCGCATTACATTTTGGCCATTTCGTACATTCTCTGTGACGAAGGTGGAAAACATTGGGTGATTTCCATCCCTAAATCAAAGTCCCTGCAAGGTGGATGCTAATAAAATGTAGGACTTAGCTTTGTATTTGAATTAAAGTGACTAAAGCTTTTACTGAGAGACTTTCTTATAGATATTTTATATCCCAACGTTTTAAATTTAAAAAAAAGTTATTGCTCAGATATACAGGATGTTATTTATACAAATGTTATTATAAGTAGACATCGGTTCGATTGTTTTTCATATAATCCAATCTTCAGTTATAAGCTCCTTCACCTTAAAGCTCCTCTCACCTTGTACAAACACAACCTTATAAACATCCCTCAGATTTTATGGAATCCCATAACATTTACTACCTACCCTAATGCTTTATTATTTATGGGTCCCCCAACTGCTTTAATGGTCTGCGTTTTAGAGTATTCCCTTGCCGGTTTGATTTACCGGCACTGCTGCACTTGGATACGTACATATATATATATTTTCACTTACAGTTACCGCATAGCATTATGGGCGAGGAATTGGCGTTTATCTTCGGGGCTCCCTTGGCCCCCGCAGGTCCCTTTCCCAGCGGCAACTACACGGTGCAGGAAAAGCTGCTTTCCGAGGCGGTAATGGCATATTGGACGAATTTCGTAAAGACCGGGTGAGTACTGGTCGGGCTGGACTTGCAGTCCAAAAAGCGGATGTGAAAAGTGCATTTGGAGAAAGTTAGCAAAGGAAAGTTAGCGGTGGTTAAGGGCAGTTTGGGGGGTTCGGGCATATAAAACGTGGAAGGGGAGGGGAGGGCCATCAACATCAACACGAAGAGTCACAGTTCTGCATGCAAATGCGGATGCGAATGCGGATGCAGTGCGGGATATTCATGGGCTTTGGAATGGCAACGACCAGTGGCTTTGGTTTGGCATTGGCTCTGCCTTCGAATGCGGCACGTTTTGCAATCTGCAACGCTTGGACAGCGAAATGAATAGAATTTTTACTGCCGCTTTTATTATTATTCCACAACGCCCGGATTGGGTGGCGGCGCATGCAAATATTATTAGTTGAAGTGGCCACCGCTCTGGGATAAAAATAAAGGCCGGGCCAGAAAGAAATGGGAATGGAAATGGCAACGGCAATGGGTGTGGCAATCAAAGCCGAAATCAGAGATCGTTAGCAGGACGTTTCGGCATTCGGCTGGCGGCGAGTGCGGTTTTCCCGCCATAACCATGTCATTTAAATGAGCAAATGAATGGCCGGATTATGTCGATAAAATGGGATGCTTTGCTGCTTGAATGTGAACTAGATGATAACACACATCCTTGATTTCCTTGCAGCAATCCGAAGGCCCCGTGGAAGGGCGTCTTCCTCAACTCACATGCCCTCGAGTGGGATCGCTACGATCTGGACTGGCCGGAATTCAATAGGCGGACTCAGGCGTATCTAAATATAGGTAAGTTTGATATCCTATAAGAAAATAATAAGTAAAATACAAAATAATTGAATAATAATAATAAATTGCTCAACACCTTCCTTTATAATTATAAACGTTACTCTTAGAGCCGTTTTCTCGTCCGCCTGATAAATTTAAAGTAGGGTTAAATCTCTGATTTCACATACGATTTACATTAAATTTAACAAACGGACGATAAAACGGCCCTTAGAGAGAAATGTATTCGGAAAAAGGTATGCATATTTCTAGCGCCCACATTTTCCCCAATTGATGGCGCTAGTTTGCAAAATCTGAATCTGTTGCTCTGAGTGCCACGCCCACAATACCCTTCAACGCTAGAACCGGTCTATCTCCCGTATTTTTAAAGATTTTGTAAAAGTGTAAATGAGGTCTTGTTTCGATTATTAATACCCATATTCTCATTCAAAATTGTTAAAAGCGGACCGTACATCAAAAAGTTAGGCGCAATCAAAGTTTTATATCTCCATCACACTATCTTAAACCGAGTAATGGTTATCTGATGGTCGGAGCACCCGACTAAAGCGTTCTCTCTTGCTTGTAACATCCCTATTTCCTCATTTCCTTATTTTTGACAGGCATTCCGCCGACGGTGGGCTACAAGTACCGTCAGATTTACATGAATTTCTGGAACAAAGAGCTGCCGGACGAACTGAACCAGATAGCGGCCATTCAGGAGCAGCTGCAGGGGCCGGGTCAAGAGGTGATCACGGGTCACATGAGCAAGTACGGCCCGAGGGACCATGGGGCCGAGGACCCTGTGAGAACGTTGAAGCTGCTCCTCCAAGAACCCAGTCTAGCGGGTCCCACGCAGAGTGGCGAGTCCACGGAAACGGCGGCGGAGAACATGTACAATGCCCCGCCCACTTTCGGGCATGTGCACAAGATGCAGGGTGGCAGTGACTTCGATGACCTGGTGACCTCCACAAGTCCGCTGGAGAGCGGCGAGGATCATCAGCAGCAGTCGCCGCCGGAGACGGTGGCCAAGTCGGAGGTCACCACGCAACTGCTGATCGCCCTGATAGCCATCATAATAGTTCTCAATCTGCTGATCTATGGCACCTTTCTGCTGCGCCAGCGTCGTCGAAGGGCCAAGGCTCTGCCCTTCCCGGCTCCCAAGCTGGGCGGAACCATCCTCAGCTACGACGGGGCCAACGACGAGGAGCTGAAGCGGTGCAGTAAGTCCCGCGATGGCGACGATAGCTTCGTTCTGGAGATGACCAGGAAATCGAACACTTACGAGGCCATTAAAACGGGCCAGAGATCGCTCAGTTGCTCCACCGTGGACACGCACACCAAGGTCTGTGAATGGATGTCGGGTCAGGAGGCGCCGAAACCGGGAAGCTTCAACACGGCCACGCCGCCTCCTCAGCCGATCCTCACCGATGGCAGGCTGATCATTTGCCAGGACATAGAGGTGGCCGATGCGGCCCTGCTGATCCCCCAGCACATGCACGAGCCGCAGCACTACGAGATGCTGCTGCAAAGACAGCATTCTGCCCTCACCGAGCCCAGCGATGACATCCTCCAGCAGCAGCCGTATTCCCTGAGGAACCACTCGCACTCCCACTCGGATCCGGTGGACATGATCCTGGCCGCCGACGAGCAGGTCACCAGTTTTGTGCACGCCGACGATGTGGACATCAATGTGACGAGCAGAGAGGACTCGGATGGCCTGGAGGTCATTCCCCTGACGGCTGCCCAGCAACTGGAGCTTCTGCGGCAGCGCAACTATCCCAAGGTCCTGCCCACGGATCACGATTTGATGGGCAGCAGCTACAAGCGGAACTCCCTGCCGCCGCAGAACTTCAACGCCCCCCTGCCGCCGCCGAGAACCATTAGCAACACTCTGGGCAGGAGGCGCAGGGACAGCAGCAACATCACCACCTCGCCACTCCAGGTGGCGAGGGACGAGGATGAGGAGCTGAAGGAGCCGCAAATCTCGCTGAACACCCTCATTGTTGGACCCATTGTTCCCAAATCGCCGGCCTCCAGTTTGAAGCGAGTGAAGAGAATGCCCGAGTCGGCGGCCATGACGGCGCTCAGCGGATCATTTCAGTCCTTCGAGTCCGTGCCGCCGGCCCACGAGACCACGCCCCCCCAGGGCGAGCGGACCGAGTGCATTTACGCCATTAAGCCGAGTCCTGGAAGTCCTGTAAGTTGCAGCTGGACGGCGCCCAATGGCGATTTGTATGCGCAGCCCATGAAATCGCCCTCGAGGAGCTCGCTCATTCCCAGGCCCACCAAGCAGCAGGTGGAATCGCCATCCCCGCCGGGGGTAGCAACTGGAGCGGCTGGGGAATCTCCTGGAGCAACGGCACCAACGGCCGCAACAAGCCGCATTCCTCAATTGCAGCGTCAGGCTTCCGGCAAGGATTTGCAGGCAGAAACCGCAAACCCCTTGGGATGCCAGCAGCGAACCGATTCCACAATATCATCGGGCTCGTCGGCATCCAATGCCTCGACCACGGACTCATCCAACTCCTACTCGTCCTCCTCCTCCTCGTCCACTGGAACCGTACGCACCGAGCTGCAGCAGTTCCAGCCTCCGCCGGGGCGAAGCATTACGACCAATATATAGAAACTCCGGGGAGCGGCTGCCAAGAAGTCCTTCAGAACATCCCGCCGTGCCCGCAATGCGGCGACAGACAGCTGCCTGCCAAATCCTATCCGCATCCCATCTCTCCGGTTTCTTTGGTCTGGAATTTTATGGGGCCTGCGTAAATTTAATAATACATTTCGGTGTAAAGTTTATCTTTGACTTGGCGGCATTGCTCGTGGTTACAGCTCCGACTGCTGGCCTTCTGGCTTTTGTGCGAGCAAACTTTCTGCCGGCGTAAATTAGTTAAGAAAATTGCACTGGAGGTTGCCCTGGAGATTGCAGCGAAGGTTTGCGATATCGAAATAGGCAACGATTCCCGTAAAGGAAACTAATTTCCCGGAGAAGAATATTGCTTTGATAAAGTCTCTTTAACAAGTTGCTCGGCAATATTTACAAATCACTTAAAACCGTTTATTAGCTTAGACCCAAAGATGGTAATTGATTTTATTTATAAGTTAATTGGGTTGACTGTTTTATTTGTCTAGCATGTTAGTTTGTAAATAGAATGAAAAATGAATATAAATTCAAATTTATTTTATTACGGTTAAGGGAAAATCTTAAAAAATGTTTAGTTTGAAAATAATTTAGTGAGGAAATATACTCGAAATATCCAAAATTAGCCACAGTATTTACAATAATATCGTTAAATAATTAGAAATAAATAACAAGAAAATAAAATGATAATTTCAATACTGATTACACATAATTTAAGTTGAAGCAAACAAGGGACACGAAAAAAGTGTTTTAATTGTACCAAAGTCCCAATGCCAAGTATTAAATAAATAAGGTTAACCATAAGCCAACATGCGAACTTATACATATTCTGGAAAATATAGTGAAATAGAAAATCAAACGATGTGGGCAATTTGTATGCTGGTGATTTTACATTTATTCCCATGACAACCAACAGCAGAAGTGGCTGCACCAGAAATTGCCAATAACAATGCCTCGAATTTCGCCACTCGCTCACCAAAAGTTGCGTCAACTATTGTTGCCGCCAATTTACCAAACAAAAGCTACTTACGAGCATGTCTTCCCCCCTTTTATGTCTCGGCTTCTGTTTTTTCTATCATTTTTGTTGCCAATACTCTCCGGGCAAAGCAATTTCGCACTGCCGCCAACTTAATTTGCCACAACATTTCGCCAGCTGTATCACTCGTAAAAAAGCATCCCTTTCTGTAAAGGAAACTAACAACATTCTTGAAAGTTTCAAAAGGTCAAAGGTGAGTAAATGCACGAATTTAAAATTAATTTTTATATTTAAATATTTAAATTTTAAGAAAGGTTTCTTTAAATGATTTTTATTAAATATTTAGCAATATTTTTGGGTGTTTTTATCGAATGATGTAATTGTTTTTTTCATATGATTTGTTAATGTGTTTAATTTTTAGACTTTACTCTTTTTTGCTTGGATATTTTCTCAGAGTGTAGAGCAGAGGAACACTCTCAGCAGGGAAATGGAGTCTGAACTGTGGAGACTGCCTGGAAATCAGTTCAAGTGTCAACATTTTTGTTGCTACACATATTTCAAATATTTGGCGTTTTGTGCATAGTTGTTAACTCTTCTCCGCTTTCCACAGCTCAACTTCTCCTCTCGGCCAGGACATCAAAGTTGTCGCTCCCCTCGCTCGACGCCGAGGAATAGTTGTGCGTTGTGTTGCTAAGCTTAGGGCCATATCCTGCAGGATTTACTGCCTCGGCAGAAAAGTTTCTGCGTCGGCTTTTATGCCTTATTCCCTTTGTGGCCCATTTGATTTCTTTTTTCGGTTTTGTGCTGCGAATTGAGTTATTGTGTCGTTTCTGCGTTGGCCCCTTATGCAAATGGTTCTGTCTTCGAGTTGTTTTTGCCTTTTTACGCAGGTTACGCAGAAAGTTTGTCGCGAACTACGGGTGAAATTGAAAATCTCCGTCATAAACAGGTCCAAACGAAATGTTTTCCCCCCGGAGCTACCCGAAAATGTTGTAATTAAATTGCTCGACCCAATGGATTGTTCTTAAGTTTTCACTCGAAATTCTTCTGGCCTCGCTTTGTCCGAAGTTCTAATTTCGTTGGCAGAAGGTTTCTTAATTATGAGAAAATACCCTGTCGGAGCCAACTAATTGAGCAGCACAAAAGCCCTGCGAAAACAATTTTATCATAGTCGTTTGATCAAACTGGAGCACATAAATTGCGATAATGACTGCCCGAACAACCTGACATGGTGTAGAATGTGTTGACATTTGTTTTCTGCTCAAAGAGGAAACATGATGCTGGGTTTTCCCAGTTTTCCAGCTGCTTTCCATGCCTATCTATCAGAGGGCTGTGGCCAGTACTTCGTAATTTTCCTCTGGCGCTTTCTTTGGCCAAGTTTATTCCATGTATCGTTGGTGTTTTCTTTCGCCGGGCGAAATTCCTACTGCCCAGTCTTTCAGTTCTGCCAGTGAAGTGCAAAGTGTATAAAACGGTACTTGAATTGAATAAACTGAACCCAACTTTTGCGGCGAGTTGTAAAGTGCTAAATGGAAGTTTGTTAGTTTGATATGCGTGTAATGGAATTTCTGCTCAGAGCATTGGCAATTGAAAGACAACAAATCTGCTGTCTATTCTTAATCACTTTACCGAATGTTAGCAACACTTATACCCCATCAAATATTAAGCATTCGAATCAATTTAGCACATTTTCTCCCCTGTCTCGGTTTCCCCATTTTGAATAATTCATAACCCTGCATGAAAGACCGCAAAAGCCGAATAGTTTAGTCCAACAAATCAAAGTTGCCGGGCAACACAGCCACAAGCAAAACGCAAAACAGAAATAAGAAAAATTAAATTCCCAAAGCAGATTTTCCCCAGCAGTACTGTAGTCCAAAATTTGCTGACAACCACAAATTAGAGTAACTCGAGAGTATATTAAAGTCAAATATGTAGAGGGCGGGCGACTCGTAAATAACGAGAGAAAGTAGGGGCAAGTACTGGGGAGAAGAGGGGTTACTTTCTGGAGACGGGGAACGATTCATGCATTAATACTAGTATGGCGTTCTGGTCTCTGATTTGATTTACTGCTCGGGGACTTTCCCTAGTTGCTGGTTAAGCGGAGGAGGCCGAAAGGGACAGGAATCTAAGCGAGACAAATGCTAAGTTATGACAGGAAGGCCATGGGCGAAAACAAAATATTTCTATGGGCATTTTTATCGGCTTAAATTTAAATTGGATACGAAACGGATTACCGCGTACATATTTAATCTTTTTTAATTGAAGCTAATTGAGAGCGACATGGCTAACATAAAATGCATATGCTGTACAACGGTTTTTAATGGCGAAAGATTTTTTCGATTGTAATTAAGCAGCTTAAGTGCTTCATGACTAATTAATGCACTTTATTATTTTTATTATAAGGTTATTTATAAATTTTACAATTTTATTTGCCACAAAGCAACTGGACAGAGGTCTTCGATTCAATAGCCTTGAACAATAAACTGGTTAAACAATCCACAACAATGCAAATGCGAGCCAACGAGTCCCCAGCCGGCAAAGTGTATCCAAACAGAAACAAAAACAAAAACAGCGACAGCAAATAAGCAAATATGCAAATTATGTTTCGTTATTTCCTTCCTTTTTCATTCATGTCGCTTGTTTGACTTTATAATGAAAATTTTAATAATTTAATAGGTGCCAAATTACACAACTGCATGCGGCCATGAGCAATGGTAAATCATTTAAAGCACAGCCATTATTGTTGCTTAGTTTCCGTAAATCGTTGAAATTCTGCCAAATAAAACTATTACTCAAAACAATAAAATTAGATAAAAATCATTTGAGTGTGGCTGTTGTGAAAATTGTTTAACTTTGTTAAGTTTTCAGACAGTGAGTGGTCACGGAAATTTACACGGCCATTCCCAGCATAGAACATGCAAATATTTTATTTTATTTTACAGAACAATTTGCCAGCAAATATAATGAGGCTTCGAATATCAATTTTGGGCGAGTGAAATCTAAATTGGAATTTTCTAAACAAACGAAAAATGTTTAATTAATTGTATTGGGTGACTAGACAACTGAAAACAGCAACGGAAAAACAGCAATGGGAGCAACAAAAGTCATTAAGGACATCAAGTGCATAAACGGATTTGCTGGTTGATAATTTCGTGCTACGAGAATTAAATGTAATTTTGCGGTCTAGCTTGTGTGCGTGTGCGCATGTGTTAAATGCAAATTATTCGCATCGAAAACCTCAATGAATATAAATTCGCAAATGAACAGAGATCGCTTAGCATGGGGCAAAATAATAATAATAATATAAATATTTAATTAAACACATTTTTTGTTGCACATGCTCTTTAGTTGAGCGCATTTTTTTTAATTAATCCTACCAATTGTTTATTTGTTTGTTCTGCGGTCGAGAGTTCAATGGGTCGTGAAATTTCGGTGGCATAAAATAAAATCCAACAATTGATTTAAATTGGTCAAGTGCAAAAGGACAGAGCCAAAGCAAAAGAGCCCTTCGCCCTAAACATTGTGGAATATGATAATGAGTTTTGGATAGAGATTCTATTTATATGTATATTTTTATGGCGTGGTGAATTAGCAAAGGGAACCGTCTGTTTTGTATATCAGAAACACATTTAAATGAATAAAATTGTGCGCATATCATAAATGCTATTCTATCTGCAGAAACACATTGCATGGAGCTCAAATGTAAACAAGGGCCCCATTTGCATTTACATCTCTCATAGTTTTCCCTTTATTAAATTTATAAATTTCTGCCAGGATAGAAGCTGCTGCCCCGTTGTTGTTGCTCGACCAGCATCTTTGGCAAGTCAGCACGCACGAACCGAAAAATCCCCCCTCGCACTAACACTAACGCCCACATGGACACTCACACGTATAGGATTTATGGCAGAGCGCATTTTATTTATATATATTTTATGACTTTCGTTGTTTTCATATTTTCCCTCTCGCTTCTCCTCTATCATAAATATTTTGCCTGGGAAAGCGAAAGCAAAACTGCAATTACAAGGAAAAAACATAGTGAGGGCTGAAGGGAAACTGCGCATAAGATCCTTTAAAAGTAAATAAAAGTGTAGAAAAGCGCAGGAAACTTTGTAGAACGTGACTTGCACCAGATTACAGTGGGAAAAATGGTCACTCTAGCTGGATTCATTTTACATTTTTAGTTGTTTTCTGAGATTTAAAATAATTCTTAGTGTACCAAAAATCTTTCAAATATCTTAGACATAAAATGTAAAAAAAAGTTAAGCACAAAGAGTTAGTTTGATAATAAAAAAAGTAATCAATTATATATTTTAATCAATTTTAAAACCAACTAAGATTATCATACATTTGCAATATTTATTTTTTATGTTTTATTGTAATGGGACACACATAAGAAAACCACAATGAAAGGACTGTATGTTTTAATAGAGTTTTCTCTATTATATTATTAACAGTTAATTGATAAAAAATATAGCCTCATGTGGAGTCTTTGAAAACAGGTTGATTAAAAAAATCAAATTCATTATAATTTCTATAATATACGTATTTCCTATGGAAAAAATATATATAATCGGGTTTTTTTGCTACTGTAATCGGTTTGCGTGGGCCACTCAACCATAGCCATAGAGTTTTCCCACGCCCCCGACGACCCCCTCCCCGCCCCACACATTGAGTGGCAATTAACGCCCATGATATTGCGCTTCGGCTGCATGCTGCTGCTGGCGGCATGTGCCATGTGGCGTCATCGGGGTGTTAATGCGCCAAGTCACTCCGTTCGCATTGGCAGCCGCTGGATTTTTATTGTTGCCTACTTTGCAGGGCCGCGTTCCCTTGGGATTTAATTTGCTTATTACCAACTTACGCAGACAAAGCGGCCATCGTCGCGCTCGTTGTCGCCATCGTTGCCCCACTTTCGTTCAAGTTTGTTGCAATTTGCAATTTGGGTCGTTGTCTGCCCCGCCCCCTGCCCACCGCCCCCAACCCGCTGCCACACATTTGTCGCTAATTTGGCGAGGAAGTCTTTGGCTTCCTTCCACGCATTCCGCCCCCCTTTTCCTCGGAAAAGGCACCCTCCGCGTAATTGTTTGGCACCAATTGTTTTAAATGCTCGACGAGCGTTCACAAATTGCTTCGCAGACGCCGCAGCCAGTTAACTGCACTGAGTGCACTTACACTCGGCTGTCAAAAGTTTGACCGGAATCGAGTTATCTATGTAAAAGTCACCAAAAGCATAAAGGGTAAATTATTTATGGAAGAAGAGGGTAAATTCTTGAGTTAGAAAATAATAATTTGCCACCCCATTTTAATACCACCTTTAATAATAATAATGAAATCAATGAAAAGCTGGTGATGAATATATATCGTATGCACTATTTATATTCCTGGCTGATCTTGGCTTAGAGATAAAAAGAGTTTACATTAATTCGTAATTTCATAAAGAATTCGTAAAAAATGTTCCTCCTATATTAACATTCTGGTCCCAATATATTTTTGAATAACAAGCAATTTAGGGTTTATTACGCATTCATTAAATTTGTCCATTACCATGCTGAATAGTGTTGAATGCTATTCAATGCGTGGCTGCAAGAAATTGCAAATGTTTTTATTATAAACAAAGAGCATGCCTGTGAGTGTGTGCGTGGGATGTTGGCTTGAACTTTTCCCGCTTTCAAGTCGAAATCGATGCGCATCAATATTCAATATGTTGCTTTTACTGGCGCCACGCCCACATCCACAGGGAAAGGGGGCGGCGGGGAGCCGCAAGAAGCAGCAAACCCAATCATGCAGCGCAGCCATCGCCATCTGATGTTTGCTTTACGTAATGGAATTGTGCGGTGAATGCCGCGTGCCACATTTTCCCCACGTCTTGGCCCCGCTTTCCCTTTTTCCTTCAGCTTTTCCTTTTTTTGGCCTTTGTGACTTTTGGTGTCTGCGAATTTTCCTTGGCCCACCATATGTCGGATCCACCCATCGAAGTCCTTTCAATCGCTTTCCACCGGCGCCTGTCAACATTCCTTTTCTGTTTACCCTCGACTTTAATTAAATAAAAATATGCATATGAACTGGCAGCACTTAATGGAATACTCCCAGCCCTAAGCTGATTATAATTATTATCTGTTTGCCGCAGATGATGCCCGCTACAGACAATAGACAATAATGTGGGCAAATGTTTCTCTAATTCCAACCGACAAGTCATTTGCCTGAGAAGTTGATTAACAACAGAAATTCGTAATTAATCGAGCATGCTAATGGCAAATTGAAAGCCTAACGAGTTCGATTCGATTGGTTTTGTGTTTTGTGTGCAGTTTTTATTTCAGATCCACTGGGGAAGTGGGAGTGTGGGGGAGAGGGGGATGAGCATTGCGCATACGCCGTGTTGTGCAACAAAGCAGACACGTGCTCGTATTAGCAGCCAGCTAAGTGCTGTTATTCTACAGTTTTACACCACAATTACCAGCTCCCACACACTGGCAACGTGTCAAAATCGACACCGGCACATGCCGCCCAACCCCCTCCTGGAATCCCCCTTAGCCCGCCCCTGCTGGTCCCTTCCCCTGGATTACACCGTCCTACGTGTCCTGGGACACCCGCGTACGTGTCGAATTCCAAATAGCAACGCCAGTCATAACTGTAAGACAATGTCTGCGTGTGATGTGATGACGGGTACGTTGTCACGCAGGCGAATGGGATTCCGGAAGGGAACTTGGGATCGCTGAGATGGAGGGGGTGGTGATAAACGTGTAGGTGATGCAAAGCAGCGCTAGTTAGTATGTCATGTGCATGTTGGCATATTTCGTTCGAGACTCACCTTCAGGGCCGCTGACTCACCCTCCCATTGTCTCCTTTTCGAACCATTTTGTACCCTTCCTGAGGGTATTGAACGCTGGTTAACTTATTTCCCTTGGTGGTTCTGTCAGAAAAACTATCCCAGAAATTTACAGATATCTCTTTACTCAATGTCGTATTTTGGTTATTTTGAATTCGAGCATTATTAAAATATAATATGCGACGTTTATTTATTTCATTCACAAAATCTTCATAAAACAAAAAAAAACACCATTAATTGTACTCAACTGCAATTTTCAATTCAAGTGGCTTGTAAAACAAATCGATTAGAGTATTGTTTCTTGTAGTTAACCACTCCCATTTGTTTTTCGTCGTGGCCTTGCAACAAACTTGTGTAGCAGCGTAATCATATCAGGGTAACATTCTGGCAACCACCACCCACATTTTCCTGCAGCGAGTGTTTTCTCGTGTTTTTCAGAAGCGCTACATCTTGTCCTTCCAAGTTCCTCTTGTTGATGTTGTGCTTGTCTTAGGCTTGGCCTTGCTGCCTCTGAGAAAGGATTGGGCAAACAACTTAACCCACTCAAGAAAAAACACAATTGGAATTTAAAATAATCTACAATCTGCTTAAGAGATAATCAGAATATTAAAATACTTTTGCCACCACCGATTTAAGATTTTTATGTGAAATAGCACGAGCCAAGAAACAGAAATGAAAGCAAGAGTTAATTATTTTAAGTGTTACATTAATTTGTGTAGGAAATTTTCTTTTCTGGGCTGATGGTTTTTTTCCTGTGTATTAATGTGAGTGGGAATAAACTGAGGACAGGTTGTGGCACATGTGTCAGATGCACACAGGTATCTATATAGTGACATCATTTTGATGTCAATTATTTTTCCGCCAACAGTCAACTTGGTTTGGGGATAGTTACACGAAAAATAAAAATAGTTGATTTTGTATAGAAAAAAACACTTTTTTATTTATAACATGAAATAAGTGTAAAAGTAAAAACAAAATTTTTAAAGTAATATTTTTTACTTTTTAGCAAATCCAAAAATTTTAAATTAAAATGCTACTTTTTTGAGTGCAGACATCAAATCGACCCAGCAGCAAACCGAAACCCACGAACCCATTTCGAGTACGTCAAACCTTTGACACATTTTCAGTTGTGAAGCGGGATGACTTGAAGGTGCGGTCGATGAGGACTGGAAGCCCCCGCTGCAGAGTGGATCCCCTCTGGCATAATGAACACTCCGCCTCCCTTCAAAACTCCCTTCAACTGGTGCCAACTGCCGAGGGGCAGGGAAATCGGGGGCGGAAGTACGGATACAGTCGGTGCGAATGCCATCAGCAATGGGAGTACTGCATGTTAATTGCCAAAAATAAAGGAAAGCAGGAGCGACAACAATTCCGGAATGGCTGCGTTTTTTTCACTTTGGCACAAAAGTATTTTAATTGCTTTGGCAGAAAAGAGAAGGGAGAACAGCTAACGATGGAATGGCAAATCATATAAATAAAAAGGAATTTTCTGAATGGAATTTATAATCACCCGAAACGAAGTGAAGTGCATGAACAATTTCTATCTCCTCAAATAATTGAACAAAAACATTAGCCATTGCGAACGTTTAGTTTAAATTAGTTAGTTGAAACTCAGTTTGAATCCATTCCGAATATTTCTTCTCTAAGATAATTTCAAAATATTTTCTGTGTGCAAAATAAGCAAACGTTTTCTACCCGTTGCCTAAAAAGATTCCCGCAATATTTTAATATATTCAAATTAAGATATGCTGCTCGCAACCTAAACTAAACAAGTTAGCTATCCTTTCTCTTTGGTTAGTACGTTATAATATATTACTACCATGCTGCAAGTAGGGTTGCCACCGTAAACGTCATACTTCTCGGCTAACCCATCTGACCCCAAACAATGTGAAATTTAGAAATGTAAATTTATAAATGCTATTTCGAAACCAGATCGACTCTCCCTCAACTGTTCAAGCAAAACAGAGACGGCAGCCATGTCGAAGGAAGAAGCTGGCGAAGCAGCCGAATCGGAGGTGTCGATGGGCCGCGGACCGCGTCCAAGGTCCTTTGGCGGAGTGGGTGCCGGTGGAGGCGGTGGCGGCCCAGGTGGCGGACCAGGTGGGAGTGGAGGATCTTCCGGCGGTAGCAGTCACAAGTCCGAACGGAGTTCGCGAGGAGAAGACGCCATTGACCGGGCGACGGATTCGCAGGCCACTCACCGGAAACTTCTCAGCGATCCGCGCTTCCGCATCCGGCCGCTGCAGCAGGTGATATCGGCCTGCGCCGGGGCCATGATTACGGCCTGTTTCATGACGCCACTGGACGTGATTAAGACCCGCATGCAGTCGCAGCAGTCGCCGGCGCACAAGTGCTTCTTCTACTCGAACGGCCTGATGGACCACCTCTTCTCGAGCGGTCCACATGGGCCCGAGATGGCCAGCCTTCGGCCGAGGCCACAGTTCACCAGCACCTGGGATGCCCTGATGAAGATCAGCCGGCACGAGGGACTGGGCGCCCTGTGGTCCGGCCTGGGACCCACTCTCGTCTCCGCCCTGCCCTCCACCATTATCTACTTCGTGGCCTACGAACAGTTCAAGGCCAAAGTACCTCCAGATCTACAAGAGCCACTGGAACAGGAGTCCGGAACCACGGCAGTTAGAACTGGAACTGAGGTAGGTTTTAATTTCCTAAAATCATATAAAATGTTCTATCAGTTTAAACATTAGACTGTGTTAATTGTCTGCGATTATATAAAATTATAAATTATATTTAACAACTGAAAACTTTAGCGAAACGGAAATATAGTACATTAGATACAATGGAATTTATAACATTTGTGGGTCTACAATAGACTAAACAGAAAATGTAAATAATAAAAGACTTATTTAACAAGTGAGTTTTTTAGAATCTGTTAATGTTGGCCAAGACAAATAAAAAAGGTAGTAAATTTACATTTACCAATATTAGTATTATTTAGTAATGACAAAAATGTTCATTTATATTTTTTTGTTTGTTTTTATAGAATTATTTTTGTTATTGGCCAGTAATTTATAATTTTACAAAGTTCAATTTTGGGTTCCTGTGTTATTAATATATATCTAGAATAAAATACAATCTCTTATTTCTTTATAACCGATTTTTCCAAAGTAAATATAATAATGATTAAAATATAATTTGTGTTTAATACTTTTTAAGTACAAACCTTTCTTATCTCAGGGACATCAAGACGAAACTGCCGCTAGTGATTCCCATGATGTCCGGGGTCACGGCTCGAATTTGTGCAGTTACGGTGGTGAGTCCCATCGAACTGGTGAGGACCAAGATGCAGGCCCAGCGGCAGACCTACGCCCAGATGCTGCAGTTCGTCCGGAATGTGGTGGCTCTTCAGGGAGTTTGGGGATTGTGGCGGGGCCTGCGGCCCACGATCCTCAGGGACGTGCCCTTTTCGGGGATTTACTGGCCCATCTACGAGTATCTCAAGCAGAATCTTGGCAACAGCTCGCAGCCCTCGTTCAGTCTGAGTTTCTTGGCCGGCGTTTTAGCAGGATCGGTGGCTGCCATTGTGACCACTCCGTTCGATGTGGTCAAGACCCATGAGCAGATCGAGTTCGGGGAAAGGGTCATCTTCACGGACTCGCCGGCGAGGGACTTTGGCAAGAAGTCAACCTACAGCAGACTGACGGCCATTTACAGGATCCACGGGCTGAAGGGACTCTTTGCGGGATGCGGACCCAGGCTCCTGAAGGTGGCTCCCGCCTGCGCCATCATGATCTCCACCTTCGAGTACAGCAAGTCGTTCTTCTTTTACTATAACGTGAGGCAGCATAACGAGGCCCTACTGTTGGGTAACCCGAATGCATCGCTGGTCAAGGAGGATGACATCGAGTAGGGAGTGGGGAGTGTGGAGTAGGGCTATACAGTCGTGGTGGCTCCCTTTTGTAAATAAACAGCGCATATTTTATGTAAGCCCCCGGGCGAATCCAATATCCCAATTAAGCTGCGCGACGCTTTACGTGTTACGTGTTACGTCAATAAGGCGAGATCCGGGAAATCAATTTGCATTTTCGCAGCTTAAAGACTGCGACTTCGGCTGCCTGTTGCTGTTGCTCCGAGTTTCCCGCTCCGCGAGTTGACTTTTAATGGAATATTCATTCATTTACATTAACTGCAATTTGAGCGAACGCAAAGGGAAATTAAACGGAATTGCCAAAGAGCCGTGAGTCAGGTGAACTGACTTAATATCGGCAACTATCCAAAGGAAAAGCTTCGCCCGCCTTTCCTGCACATATTGAATTTTCCAGCCCAAGTTCTCCGGCAGCAATAATCGAATTTCCTTTGTTGGTGGGTCACGTTTTGCCACAGTTTCGACCACTGCAAATGCCATTTGAGCCCAGGGCGTCGTGACCGAAAAATATTGCCAAGATTGAGTGCTACTGAAAATCTATAAATCACAGTCGGAAATATCAAAACTAAAGCGAGTAATTAAGAAGTGTTTGTTTGCCGCTGGGGCCTCTGGCTCGACTTAATTGCATTTCGCCCGAAGATTCTGGTTCCTTTCGTTTATTTTGGTCCACAAAAATTTTGCTCGAATGATTCGCCTATTACAAAAAACTGTCCAAGCGAAAATTTCCTTTTTGTGCGTCCTTTTGTTTTTATTAAAGTGCAAACAAAGTACACAAAGCATTCCCAAACACAAACTACGGAAGCAGGCTGTCAGAAAAAAGCAGGGAAAATATATATTTTGCCGTTTCCTCTGGATGAAAATAAAAAGAATGGACGAAAATCGTCCTGGGGACGGTTGGGTCACAGTAAGTGAAACATGATATTTTTGTTTGTTATTTTATTTTACTTCACTTAAACGTGAATCTCTGAAAGTGTCAAAGTGTGGCTGCTACAATTACGGGCATTTTTCCCAGCCATCGCGGTATTTGCGGCAGTTCAATTAATTGTGCAGTCTTTCCGATCGAAACCGCTGATGAAATAATTGGGAATGCGCGCAGAAATATATATCACACTTTTTCTGCGAAAATCTGAACATTAAATCGCTTTAATCTGGCTTTTAATTAATTTGTTAGGCAAAAGTGCGCCAATAAAGCCGGCACTCAAGTATTCAAATAAAAGAAAATTAACTGCGACCTGCCGAAGCGTTTCCCCCTTTCGCTATTTTCTTTTTCTGCAAAATCACATTATTAAAAATACTTAACGACCACAGGCGCCCGGGGGAACTTAACATGTTATATATCTCCCTCTTTTTTCATTGGTATTCTCTCTGCTCGACGAAAATTGCCAATAAAGCGAATTAAAATATGCTTTCATAAAAATAATGGAAATTAAATTTAAGTGAATATCTCATTTGTGTCGTGCATGTACGTGTGTGTGTGTGTGTGTGTGGGTGGGGCATTTTTTGCTTAACCACAATCAAGGACCTCTGGCTACACTGCACTCCTTTCTTTCCTTTTGTCTTCCAGCTACTTTGGCGCATTGTTGTTGCCGAGGGCGGGCGGCAGTGTTGGTTGTGGGGGCGTGGCGCTTGTCTATATATTTTCCGCAGGCTGTTGCTCGCCAGTGTTTTTTGTTGTCAGCATCAAAAATATTTTCGCAGCCGCAAAAAAATACGGGAGGAAAAATGTGGGAGGCAGGCAGGAAAAAGCTGTTAATAGGGAACAGATCCGTCCGTCCGGGTGTCCTTCAGCTGTCCCAGGGCCATCCTTCAACATTTGCCTGCTCTCTCTGTTGTCAGCCTGCGAGTTCCATCTTTTTTTCCTCGCCGTATTGTATTTGCATTTAATTGTGGCATTAAAAATACACCGGAATACGTCGTACTACGACTCGTCCTGGCCGTATCCTTATTTATGGCCCCAGTCCGTCTCTGTCGGCAGTCTATCTCATTTCTGGTCCTGGTTTGGTTCTGTTTCTGGTTCTGGGCTGTTTTTGCCGCTCACCATTGACATTGTGTGGGCGTGGCCGTGTGAATGGATATTCGATTTATTTGCCCCATTCCCACAAACAGGAACTGGAGGCCATGAAAATGATTTAAGATTGGATTATTGGGTGACAAAGTGTGAAGATATTAAAGCGTTGACACTGCCGTCGATTGACAACTAATGAACTGTTAATTGACTAATCAAATCAAGCACGCTTAAGCGCCCGGATTTCTTTGAGCCGTTACTTTTTTAATTTCTTGAGAAGTTGCATATACTGGAATAATTAAATAATATAAAGGGCTTATTTTACCTACAAAAAGAAATGTATACATAAATTTAAAAACATGTTATTTGTAAAGTTGATCTGCTTCTATTTTTTAGATAATTATTTAGTAGGGTTTTCTACTGGTTTTAATTTCATCTTTAGCCAATAAACCCGAAAAGATAATTTTGTTCACATTTTTTTTCCACTTCCATTTGTCAAAGAGCTCATGGCTGCTCATTTTAAGTCTCAAGAACTATTTGCTTAATTGTTTAATTTTATGCGCGGAGTTCGCTGAAACTTTATTAAAACGCGTAATTGTGTAGCTTTTGATGGGCGGGAAGCGGAAGGCCTTGCAGCCCCTAGTTAGTTAAAATTTCCGTTTTCCCCGAACCAACAGAATTTCTATTTCAGTTTCAGTTTCCCTTTTTTCTTGGCCAAACATCCGTCCCGATTGCGGCCCCTTGCAGGCTAATTGTTGGCACTAGCCGTGTATGGGGGAGACCATTTCCTCTTTTGACCTTGTGCCGGCGAGTGTTTAATTAATTTCGAGAACTGAGCCAAATAAATGGCAGGCGGTGCCGTTGCCCCCTAGTTCAAAACAAAGCGAAGAAGGGAACCGGACCGACTTAAGTCTATTTAAAAATGAGGCCGAATTTTTCACACTTCATGGCCATGCATCATCAGGTGATGGATGGGGACGGACGTCCCCGGACGTCTTTAAAGGGCACCGAGTTTCTATTTTTTTAATTAGCGAACCTTTTGCTTTGCTTATCCCTTTGGCGTCGGCGTGTTTACACTGTACCTGAGCACGCAGGATTTTAATTAAAAGGCACGAAATTGACAGGATAAAAAAATAATGTTTACCTTTTGCCACCGCGTTGGCCGATTGTTTGGCGGGGCTTTTGGCAGTCGCCAGTCCTTTAATTTCGGCAGCCCGAGTGGATTTCTTACTTAGTTCCAGCCACTTGATTATTCAGACTCCACACACTGGAGCGCGAAATTGTAATCAGTGCGGTCATTTTTCGAGTTTTTTCATTAAATGTTTTTGCACGCTTTGTGAAAATCTAATTGCGGTTAATTTGGCTCTTTATAAATGCAGGCCCTGTCCACTTCACACCACCGCTTGCTTTGTTGGCCATAAGTTATGCAAGGTTTACTTGTTTTTCTAGCAATTTTGGCTTTCGGTTTTCCCTTTCGTGGCCGGCTAAATTATTTAAGCGATAATGGGGCGTAAAAGTCATAACTTTGGGGCTGTAAATTGGGGGCTTTCTTGAAGGTTTCGGGTCTGGTCCTGTCAAGTGCATTAAACATGAGGCAAGGGTTTCGCTTTGCCTTGCTTTGCTTTGTTTTGTTTTTGGGGCTCTGGTTCACTCGACTGAGATAATTTGCTAAGCCATTCCGGAAGCGGCTTTTTCAATTGTTGTACGGCCACCAAATGGCTTACTTATTTCAAATGTAATTTATGGTAATCGCTGTCTTAATAACAAACCAATTAGAAAGTTTCCCATAATTTAATCAGATTTTCGTACTTGCCAGCGAAGTCTGCCCGCCAGACGGCAGAATTTGTCCTGCGAACTCCAGCGCCTTTTCTAGGAAGAAAACTTAAAGGTTTTCCCTTTTTCTCTGTTTTTCTTACGTTACGCTACGTCTGCTCCGTTTATGAATAATTCATGAGGTAACTTTATAAAAATATCGCACAAATGGCACTAAAACAAGGCAAGTGGAATGCCAACCTTTGAGCAGAATTTTAAATGCCCTGAAAGTGTTTGAGGTGGAAGTTGATTTAGTTGTGATTGCAAGTCATCTAAACGAAATGTAAAGTTAAGAGGGTAAGGCAAATATAGGCAAACAGTTTTAAATTATTAGTTTAACAATAATGGAACTTTAAAGGCAGTCGTGTTAAAAGAATTTTATAAAAATAAATGTGGAATTTATTAAGAACAGATAAAATTTGTTATATTAATTTTTAAAATACTTTATTTAATTATTCATCAAAAATATTGGTATAGTCAAGCTGATGCTCATAACTTTTCTCTACAAATACTAAAAGCTAGTCGGGGAAAATTGCAGAGAGAAAAGTTTCGCCTGGCCATTACCTGCAAGCACAAGATGCTAAAAATTTTAAAAATGCTGAAATTTTAGATGCCTGCGTGTCTGTGTGTGGCAGAACAAAGTATCGTTTATTATGAAGAGAAATGTGTAAGAAGACCTCAAAGAGGGCAGCAAATCTGAAAGCGGCTTAAAGCTTTAAATAATGTGATAAATTATTAAAATTATTTAAGAGAGCGAAAAGTTCCCCGGAATATGTACAAAAGTGGTCGCCGCAGTCGTTTAAGTGCAATTTGCATATTCAACAGATTTTTAAAACAAACCGGGGGCGTACGAGACTCCAACATATCATATCAGCCGAAGTGGAAACTTTGAACTTCACCTTTTTGTTTTTTGGCCCATCGCAAACTTTGCTGCGGTTTGTGTTTGTTCAATTTGCATACCAAGTTGGCCTCCCACCCTCATTTGGAATTGTTAAATTTTTATTTTGATAGCACCTCGTATGCAAATGAGTTCGGAGCAATTGGACCGGGTGGATCCTGTTGACCCGGAACAGGGGAACTTCCTCTCGGACAAGTTGCTTCATTATGTGAGTCGGGCTTTGGTAGATAAACAACGAGCGAAAGAGGAAATTAATTAATTTGGGAACCGAGTGTTGATGAATATTTAAGATTCCATTAGAATAATGCATAAAGTTCGCCCGTTTGTGTGTCAAATCTAATTGTGGTAATTGAATAATAAATCTATAAAACGCTACTCTTTCCCAATTGCCATTTCAACTGAAACCAGCATCCGCATAATTATGTGAGGAACAGAAAGAAAATTAAATAATCTGCTAAATGTGCGGTAAGCTGCTTATAAATCCCGATAATAACCATTAGCATTTCTCAAAGTCAGTGCATAATTACGAAAGGAGCTTTGAAAAATGTCATTGTAAGGCAGGCAAGGAAGATACGTCAGTAAGCGGATATTAATTTCGCCTTCGTATTTTAATTGTGCCCCGGCTCGAGCACACACGCCTGCTCTTTCTGTGGCTTAAATTCACATCGTTTACCTTGGCAACGAGGCACGGGTGAGGGTATCCCGCACCCATCCCGCTCCAAAGGCTCCAAAAGGTGCCCGGGCGACAGCAACAATATGATCCTGATGGGCAATGACAGCGATGGCGACAACATGGACACATCCTGCAGATGTCAGCCGTCTGCTGACAGTCAGCTTTCGCCGGGCCCGGACCCGATCCACTGACGACCAGGGGAAGAAGCCAGGAGCCTGTCCGGAAACATTCCTGACTTATGAAATATGCTGAGCAGTGTAGAGCGTGCGGAACAAGCTGTCAGTTCCCAGAACGGCTTGTCTCTTAATTTTGACTATATTTTTTTCAGCTCGGGGGAAGGAAAACGAAAAAGTTATAATACCAGAATTTTGGATTAACAATTATACTCATTTAAATATATAAGTTATAAATATTTTTTAATAATTTATATATTTAAAATAAATTGTAATTTATAACAAAAGATTTCATAAGTTATTTTATTCTAAAATTTTGCCATATATTTTCTTTTTGTAAAAATAATTTAAATTCACATCGTTTACTTAATCACTTTAACATTTTCAGAGTGTAACGAGTATGTAAATATGTTCAATAAAATTAAACAGTGTCGAGCGGAAACCGTAAGTGAGAATCGCTCCTCCGGCAAAAGTTGTCACCATTTTTTCACCCTCGTTTCTCTAATCTCGTATAATGCTTTTGGCAGCCCTTGTAATTTAGTTTGCAGTATGTTTTTTGCAGTTAGAGGAGACGGGACAACGACTAATGACTTGGAATTTGTTGCCCGCCGGCCAAATGAGCATGTGAGCATGGCCCCATTCTCCTGCTCTCTATCACTTTCTGTGAGCCAGCTGTTGTCGCTTCTGTTTGCCATTAACGCCTCTTTCAAGCCAAAAAATAGAGAAAACTGCAACTTAAGTGCAACAGAAGCGTGAAAATCATTAAGCTGCAGCTGCTGCCCCTCCCACCCTCGAACACATGGCGGCAAACAAAGGACTCCGCAGGGACAAACTAACTGATACTGGCACAGACAAGGAGGGGCCACTGTATCCCCTTTGCACGCCGTCCGACATGACGTATGAGTTATGCAGATAAATTTCATGCGACGTCGCTCATACCACCCGTCAGCTTTAATTAAATCCAAGAGCAGCAGCGCGATTTAATGTGAAAAATGAAAATTGCCAAATGCTACTGCATTTTGGATATTGCAATGTAGCACTTTAATTTGTAAACTAAGATATGCATTTATGTAAAAGCAATCAATCTTTCTTATTTTCAGTATAAATCACGTTAAATTTAACTTACATTCTCAGCTTATCCCTTTCTTTGGATTCCTAACAATTCATAATTTAATCATTTTAAACCGAACTCTAGCATTTACATTAAATTGACTCAACTACTGTCAATTAAGTTGTCAACCTTGTCAAACTAATTCAAAACCGCAACCAATCAAAAAAAATATTCTACGTCAAATATAAAATTATTGTGCCAAAAAGATGTAACTAACTTGTGCATTATTGATATATGATAAAATACCTTTAAGTCTTTTTATTGTATTGCCTTTAAGATTTCTTTATATTAAGTCCAAACAGTGCTCTTTTTGCGTCTACAGCCAAAGAAATTAAGTCAAAAAGTAATGATTTTCTTTTCGGTGGAGGCTCCATTGGTGGAACCAGATTTGCTGGATACGTATTCGGTGGAGCTTCGGTTTCTGAGACTATCATTTGACCAAACAAGGCTAAGAATTCTTTATCCTTGCATTCTGAAGGAATTAAATGTAAGAAATGTTTATTCAATATTGGTTCAACTATTAAACTTACCTTGAGTTGTACATGATGAATTATTTTCGTCTAGGGCGAAAAAAATTGAAATTAAGCATTAAAATTAAGATATAAAACGGACCTTCCTTTTTTGAATTATCTAATAAGTTATCTTGACCACGAATTATAAGGAGTGCTGAAGAAATCAGTGATACGAACAGCAATCTCCTCATCATGACATCTTCCATATAGATGGAAAACTAAAATAGAACGTTTGTTTAACTAAGCCTTTAGTAAAAGGTCTCCGAAAGTATAATCAAAATGATTTGCCTATTTACTCGTGTCAAAACGATTTCCTCATTTCCTTTTTTTCCATGCATACATTTTAGGTTTAACAAGCGCACCAGTTTAAACGCCTAAAGGAGTTATAAGCTTATATGTTGGGTTTTAACAAAGTAACTCCACCCACTCTAAAAAAATAATCAATTAATTACCACAGGTATCAGGATTTTACACATTGAACACAAAAGACATAATCACAGTCATAAAGGGGCAACCACAAAGCCCATTCAGGCCAATATCTCGTGTGTTTATGCACAATGCCCTTAATGAACAACGGAAATTGGCGACCATTAAAGTACAATTCCAATAAAAATAAATCAAGTGGACAAAGGCAAAAAATATAGGGAATTTAATATTCAGAAGCTCTGAGTGCTTCAATTAAATGGGTTTTAGCTACTGCTCTTAGCCAGACTAACTATTTATGGTTGAAATTGAACTACGATAAAATGTTTGCCTAATGTTTGGGTAGAGTGCTTCAAATAAAAGTATATAGTTTGTGCGTTTTTAAATATTTATAGATTTAAAATATATACACTTTAAATATTTTGCCCAAACAAAAGCGAAATGTACAATACGAAATCATCCATCAGATTCCACCCAAGTTAAGGCAACAGCGCAATTGTGCAATGCTTAAAACATCACTGTGTTCCGACATTGTTGGTTACTTTTTTGCATCCCATACAGGACTATACATTCATGGTGGCTGATAAATAACGACGCAATTGACTTGAAATCGCGACCGCTTTTACCGCACTCACTGCGAAAGGGATGCTCCAGTGGAAGAGCGTGTTGTCTTCGGATGACTGTAATACATTATATTCAGTTATATGTGCAGGAGGTGCACGCACTCGACATATGAGGTCAAATTAAATCGCTTTGACATCCGAAACTCCTCGGAACTCGCATCCTGCTGACTTGAATTCCTGGAAGAAGAATAAATCTGCAGCTCGTGACATCCTTCAGCGATTTATTCACGGCACGAGGACATCCCTGGTTTTGCGGAACCTGTCGGACGTATTTTATTGTTGCCTTTTCACACACGCTTTATTTATTTATTTATATGCTCCGTTCCGCTTGGCTCTTTCGGTTTTCCCCCGTCCAGGCAAATGTAAGCCGTATTCATTTTTGTTTATCAATATTTGCTTTTTGTATCAATATGCAAAAACTTTTATTAATGACCAATATGTGCAGATTTCCTTTTCACAGCCTTTTATTTAGTTCGGTTTCCCGGGCCGCTGGCAATTTTCAAGCGAGTTGGCTGAAATGATGCAATGTAAATTTCATTTTAAAAGCTTTTTTCAAGGCTTTAAGTGGTGCCACTGGCTTCCTTTTGTGCGCCGATAAAAATATCGCCGAGCAGTGACATTGAAAGGTTGTCAAATATTTATACTGTATACAATTTCTTATATTTTTTTGATTGTTGTGCCATTATACATTGTCCAATTTGGCATTAATTTAAATGATTTATTTTGTTTCAATTTATTGTTTCATTGTTGCCGCTGCTCTGCTCCTCCGCACAAAAGACTGCGGATCATGATTGATGGTCAAACGGGTCCACAGCATTTTTCCAGCATCAGCGGCCTCAGCAGGCGCAAGGATTTAATTTGATTGAAAAGCAAACCGAAAAATCAATTCCGGCTAATGGATTTTCCGCACCGCACTAGGCTAGATCCCTCGTATTCGGATTTCATTTAATTTTATCTTTTTTCCCAAGCATTCCCCGCCTTTGGTCTCCAGTCATTTGCATCCACATCCGCTGCGGCATCGATTTGGGCGAAGCAATTTTTCAATAAAGGCATACAAAGAAAAAATGTTTGGTATTCCACTTTCGAGCCGAGGCATCCTTTATTGTTTAGTTGATGTCTGCAGCTGTTGGCGTGACTTGTTTTTTCCTGCAACATATAAGGTGTAATCATCATCAAGAGGGTGAACCTTTTTTTGCGGAAGGTCGAAAGCCAGTCCGTTGTGGTTTGCTCGAGAATTGGTTTCCATTTGTTATATAGCCGGGATAATGTTTACTCAGGGGTGTCACAATGGCCTCTTGCCAATTTAAAACATTTACTTTAATGACTTAACTTGGAGAGTTGCATATTTTACTCAGAAAGATGGATGTTTCTGTATACTTAGAGGAGTTTATTGAAAGCCCAAAGAGCGAGTATCAGACACGTAGTACTAATCACCTTCTTAGATATTGATAGCTCATTTATATTAAGTTCAAAGCTCGTCCATCGCAACCTTGCTGCTGCTGCCTGTCTGCATTTGAAGGCCGCGTCCTTGGCTTCGAGTTAATTAGTCGTCTGCGCATTTAAAACTTAATTAACAGCCGTGGCCGTAATTAACGTTATTGGCAGCTGGCAATAACAACACCATCAGCATGTGGCTGCGGATCCGGAACAACGGAGTGCGAACTGCTGCCACCCAACTGTCGGGCTTTATTAACTCCCAGATGGTCGGCAGGAGAAAGGCGTCGGGCAGATTGGCATATTCAAAGCAGATCAATGGGGGCAGGGCACCGAGTGACAGAGAAATACGCCGGCCAATTGCTTTGTGCTCCATGGGAAAAGTGTGCTGAGTGCTGAGGGAGAGGAATGTGTTAGACGTCTCCATGTCGTTGGCAATTAAGCATAAATCCGCTGTCACTGCCCGTTGCACATTGTTGTTTAAGCCGTTGCTGCCGTTCGTGTTTTCCATTTTTTGCTCTTGCAACACTGTTGCTTTTGCTGGTGAAAAATGCATGAGTTCGCCGGAAGCGGCAACCACCAGCTGCGTTGGCCTGAACCCAGCTAAAGGGCCAAACTCATGGGGGAGTTTCCCGGCAGAGAGAAAAATATATGTGACCGTGTTCATTGATACTCAGTTTTGGCTAGAAAATATTGTGAAGGAAGGAAATTAATAATTCTGTTGTTTGTTTGTTTTGATATCTAATTTTGTTGTATACAGATTCGACTTCATTCGGCACTCAATAGTAAAATATTTTGGAATTACATCTACAAAGGCACATTCTATTATATTGTATCTTTCCTTATGATCAGACCATCACAGCAGATTTTCAATTCTGCGGCTTTGTATCTGAAATACACAGCAGGTCACTAACAAAATAATTAAAATAACTATAGTTTTTAAGCTTTTTTGTTAAAGTGAAAAAAAATAAAACACACTCAAATTATATTATAGTCCACTATTAAGACAGCTAACCATTATATTCTTGATCCAAATATGGTAGGTGATTATTCCATTTAGCTAACAGTCCCAAACAAATTTTATTTGAGGGTGCAAATAACGTTAAAACTTTTAATATGGAAGCTTCATAACATATTTCTTATTTATGTAGGTTTTTAATTTTTTCAGTGTATTTGTGTCTGAGCGTGTGTTTGAGCGCAGAAGAGAATGTAGGAAATTTAAACAATAAACGCTTGGTGAGTTCAGCACAATTTCCTCATGCATCAGTCGTCCTCGCTGCACTCCACTCCTTGGCCATCCTTTCTCCACTTGGTTTGCTTTCTTCCCTAGCTCGACACATTTCTCCGATGCTTTGGACCAACAAAAAGAAATAATTAATTTTTATGGTTTTGTCTTTGGGTTGGCACTTTCTGATGCGTTCTTCTGACCGGAGCAGCTCTTGTGGGTGAAAGCTGCAGTGTTCGGGGGGGAAAGTCAGTGAAGGGGAATGGGAAATGAAGCCACTGCAGGTGTAAGCTGAAATAATTTAGAAATTGTTTTGTTTCTTGTTTGCGCATCTGTTCTTTTGTCAGTTTGGAAGCTGAAGAAAGCCTTTTTTCAAATTGCCAGTTTTTCAAGCTGAACATAAATTATTATGACATGACTTTCAGAATACCCGTACGATCTGTTTGTATGCACTTAGTTAATGCATGCCTTAATAGTTATCTTAATTGGTTCTATTTAGTAGGTATGTCTTACATGCTTTTTAATTTATCTTATTTGGTTTTATTTAGTAGGTATTTTAACACTGGGAATTTCTTTGATATTTGATAAATTATATTCAACCATCAGAAATCGAACTATAACATAAAATACTGGAGCCAAAAACATGCTTAATATTCATAAATCAAAATATAATTTCATGGAGTTCGCACCACATTCAACGACCATTGCAAGTGTCATATAAACATTAACTGCCCCACGTAATAACTGTTTACACGCGCATAAAAATCAAGCTCTACTCCTGTGACTGCCCTATAAGGAGAATGTCCGAGCAGGTCAGACCGTTGACCGCACCTTCTCCCTGCCGAAACCCACTTTTCTCGATTTTTCCTGATGCTGTTGTTATTGCCATTGGTGCGGTAAGCAGGTGAGAAGTCGAGCATGGAACACACTTCACAGGTAGCCGCAGGATCTGCAGTCGAGCAGAACCGCAGCAGAACCCACTCCTTATCGACCACCTTTACAGCCAACCAACACCAACCCACCCACCCACGCACTCACTCACTAGCCACTTCAGTTACACTTACCATTACAGTTACAGTCTCGGTCTCGGTTTCAGTTTCAGTTCCTTTGTCTTTCCGCTCATAACAATAAAAGCAGTAATCAGAATAATAAAATAAAGGAAGATTCAGGCAAAAGGAGGATGGAAAAGGAGTTCTTCATGTTGGGCAAAAATTTTAAATATTTTATTGTTTAATTCGAGTGCGCCTTGTGCAAAAGTTTAATGGCCGACAACGCTCCGCTTCACATTATCATTACAATTGCGAGTATTTTCACCTGGCGGCCGTTAATTCGAGCAGGTATTAATTATAAAGCCCCAATGGGGCTCTGGTCATAAACACAGAACATCTTGCGTACTGCACTTCATTTTCTGCTTGGATTGCGGTCCATTAACCGAGGGTTGTCAGTAATGAGAAAACACAGATACGCACCGGTACAAAGTGCAATTGTAGTGAGCAGCCGAATGCCAAATACGCATTTTAATTAATATTTCTCCGAGGAAATAATGCTGGTAAATTTGCGATGGTCTTCAGCTTAAACTCAATTTTTTTCCACCAACGAATGGCAGCCGTAAAAAAGCAGGTGAATTGGAAAACTTAAGAATACTTTAGTTTACAAAATACTGGCAAGAAACATTATCCATTAAAAAATTTTAATATCTGTTATTTATTCGTCATGACGATAAAATTGAAAATAACTTAATAAAGGAACAAATTTACATTTATTAATACTTTCATCTTAACGCCTTATATTCATTACAGGCCCACATAAATAATAGTCCATCACCCCTAACAAAACCTTTAGAAAATCAAGTTATAATTAAAATTGGCTTGCTTTCCCTTGTTGTTGAGATAAAATATTGCCCATAAATATACGAAAATCTCCCCAAACCACTTTTAGGGCTGACCAATGCAATTATTTAAGTTTGCAATCCCGCAAATGGGTTTTTCCAATAATCAACTTACAATTATTAGGTCAGACTTTGAACTCCCTCGAGGGAATTGACTTTTATGCCTTGGCAAACACACTCTCCCAGGTTCCATAAATGGGGACCCCATTCATACGAAACCATTTCCCACTTTTGCATTCAAGTTTTCCATTTCCGCTTTGGCGCCTTTTTCCTGCCTCCAGCCCCGCCCAGCCCCGCCCCGTCTCCGGTCCCAGTTGCATAATATTTTATTATCCCCAACGCCTATCTGCATTGTCCTGGCACAAGAGGACACCTCCCCCCGGAGCAGCCCACTCTCGTTGCCAGTTATCTGCGAGTATCCTTGTGGCAGAATTATAATCTTACAGGCTCTAACAAGTGCAAGTGCGGCTGGAATTTAATATCACGAGCCCCTTTGTTGTCTTGCTCGCTGGTTTGTTGGTTTTAAGTTTTCGTGTATTTCATTACAAGGCAGTTTGGGATCGGGATTGGAATTGGGATTGGGAATTCGGATCGGGCTTGTGTGCCGCTTGCCACATTCAGCAGACGCTTAAATCCTTTACACAAGCTGTTTGCCGCGCATAACGAAATAAAATAAATAATCCCGTTTAATGGAAAGGCCAAGAGAATGAGGGGCTCGGTCGGAGGCACCTCCACCTCGGCCCCCTCCCCAGTTCGCCATTGCCAACGCCATCCCATTTCCATCCGAGCACCAACAATGCCGCCCGGCATCGCATTTCCTTTCCAATTTTCCTCGCCTGTGCCTGCTGCTTCTTCCTCAGCTGCTCCTGGTGATTCTGCTCCTTTTCTGCTCCTTTTCCTTTTCATTTCTCGCCGCTGTTGTGCACACGTACGCGGCTCAAGATTTCCCATTCATATCGTGTGCGGCGTCTGCTGGTGATTTAAACAGGGATGCAAACCAGTTCTGAACCGAACTGAACTGTCCCGCTCTTAGTGGCTCCATAAAAACTATATCTTTTCTTGAAAAGGCTAAAAAATATCCTATTAACGGGCAGTAATTTACAGGAACGCTTTTCAAAGTCCAAAAATTTTTACGCGTATCTTATTATTGACAAAGCATTTGTTGAAAAAGAAATTCCACGTCAATAGCCAGTGAAAATTAAAATATTTAATCCTAGGTATTGACAATCCAAACACGTTCACCGCACTGGTTCAATTATTCCCTGAGCCACTGAACCGAACAAATCAACACCCCTGAACTTTAAGGGGAATACACATTTTCTCTATGCGGAGTCGACATCCTGTTCAATATGCATTTGGCTGGTGGTTAATGCCGCCTTGGGAGTAACTGATTGCCACAGTGGCACCATTATTATGCATTCAGATTGATGCACGTCCTCGGCATTTTTTCAGCCAGCCTGCCGGAAAATGCACACACCGCACACACACACATCCGGTCGGGGTCCTGATTGCGGTACCCGTCTAGAGTCCCGACATCCTCCAGGACATATACGTACATCGCACACACTTAACGAGCACTTAAGCGTCTTCGTTCGGAGCTGCTCAGCTCTAAATATTATGTTTAATTAAATATGAGCTCATAATCGAGTTCGCCCATTTAGCCTGCTGACCAGCTGGCCTCTCTACCGTTTTATAGCCACTTTAGCTGTTTAATTAAAAGGTTGGCTTTTAATTGAAATCGCTCCGATATCTGAGCTGTCACAATTGCCATCTGGCCCCTCGGGCGGGGAGAGGGATATGATTAGTGTAATTGCTGCAGGCTGGCTTGAAAATTATTATCCGATGTGCAGAGGATTATCTTGAAGGACCTTGGGCATGCCGACGGTTGGGGACTTATCTTGGGCTTAATCAATCAACTCGACCACTGAATAAAATATATTCGTCTGGTCGAAGATAACCTACGGCCATAAACGAGCAGCTCCCACATTTTATTGGCTATTCCCCGATGCCCCAGTAAGGCTCTCTCGGAAGGCCTCTGTCACTTTGGGTTTTATTTGGCTTTCCCCGGAAAACATATTTATTAGCAACATGTCGAATGGGTAATGCAATCGAGGCCTTGAATCAGTTTTCGCCAAGAGTGTGTGTGCCAAAGTGACTTTTCAATTTGAATAAACGAATGTTGCTGTGTAAATATTTGATTTATTTTCGGGTGACCTTTGTCAAATAGACACACACGAAATCCGACTTCACCACCCACACCTCTCGCACAGCATGGGTGAAAATAATAATGGCCTGACCCTAGTCAAACCTTTTAATTTCTAGAAAAACACTGAGCATACAAAAATTTAACTTTTCTAAGCACTTCCTAATTAAATTAAATTATAGCATATTTTATAAATAAATGGTTTAAACCTTTTTACTTAGTTATATTTTTGTGACCTCTGCTATGGATAAATATTCGAAACTCGCACATTTGTCTCTTTGTATCTTTTCGACTTGGATGTCGCCCGAAATTCAATTTGCATATTTCCATCTCCGGCTCTTTCCTGGTGCATAAAAGTTTATAATTTCCATTTGTGTTGCGTTGCTCGACAAGCAATTTTCGCTTTATAACTCCATTGCCGCACAAGGTCAGGTCGAGAGCAGGGAAACCAATTCAGAATAATCTGGCCAATTACTGCCAACGCTCGGCAAGGTCAGTCGAGTCATTTCGGCAACGCACAAACGATTATTACTGCATTAGGAGTCGGCAAAGAAACGCACATGTGAGTCGCATGCAGATAAGCAAACGTAATAGAAACAGATTATATCCCATCCCCACCGGGGACCCACACTGGAGCCCATATCCCGTCGCCATCCTACCACATCCTCGTCCTCGATTCCCCGTCCTCGGCTCCCATTCATCCGTAACATAATCGTAAAAGTCAAAGCTTAGCTCAATGCTAGATTGCAGCATTTTGTATGGGGGAAATTTTTAAAGCAGTCGTCGGGGAATGAGATATAATAGAGATGCTCTCCAGACTCAAGGATGTGACTCTTAACAAGGGGATTTGAATTGAAGTTCAGGCAGATTAAATGTGCGTATAGCTTGGCTCCCTAAATTTAAGCCGAAAATAATGAGATCGTGGGCTACTATTTCAAAAGCAATCGAACTGATATTTGACTCAAAGCTTTTAAATAAAGGTCAATATTAAATAACGAAAATTTGTAAATGGGAGTGATATCTTCCATTAATGACAGTCGCAGAATGTAATTATTGATTTTAATGATGATTTTTGAAAGGTTAAGTCATCACACGGAAATTTGTAAAAAGAGCTTATTTTAATTGATAGTTCGAAAAATGCCACCTTCTCGAAATCCGATCGAATATAACACCTTCTTGTTATGCTTCCTTGATGATTTGCGGCTTGAAGTCCCGTTCCGATGCCTTCTTAAAAGACTCCGCATACAGAGGAATCCTCTGGGTCATACGGAAGCCCCAGAAATCCTTAACCTGGCGACACAGGTTCAGATCGAGCTCGACAACCAGCAAGCCATCTTTGTCCCGTGACAAGCTCTGCAAATAATTGTTCAGTATTATAAGATAAATATTTAGAAATTCTTATAAATTGATTTATTTTTAGCTGACTTACCGGTGTCCTTGAACCGTCCGGAGCAGCGACATATGAGGATCCGTAGAACGGTCCAAACTCCTTGTGGGCCTTGTTACCATCTCCAGACGTGTACTCGTTAGGGAACTGCTCAGTTCCCACGCGATTAATGGGAACTGTGAAGTAGCTGTTGGCGATGGCTGCATTACGCGCCTCAATGCTCCAAAGAGGCTCTGACAATCGACCGATGGTAGCCGAGGGATTGAAGACTATCTCCGCTCCATTTAGCCCGAACATCATCCAGTTCTGGGGATGATGGCGCCCATAGCAGATGTTTATGGCCAGCTTGCCGAACTCCGTCTCGAAGACCGGGTGCCCGGTGTTGCCTTCCATGTAGTACGTAGATTCATTGAAGTCTCCCACCCGGGGAATGTGGTTCTTGCGATGCTTGCCCAGGTAACGACCGCTGTTCGAGATGACCACAGCCGTGTTCCAGATGGTCTCGCCATGCTCAATATCGCGCTCCAGGATCGAGTGGATGATGACCATGTTGTAGGCCTTCGCCAGCTCAGCGAGCATCTTGGTGGTAGGCCCATTTTCGGCTTCCTCGGCGAACTCGCACCAGGGGAACTTTTCCCGAGTGCAGAATGCAAACGGCATGGCTAATGAAAATAAGTAAGATAATTAATTATTTAAAGTGAATTATTTATATTCCAAGCTTACTCCATGCTTCTTGGGTGCAAATAATATTGCATCCGGCTTCTGCTGCCGCCTTGATCATGGTCTTAACCTTGTTCCAGATAGCCTCCCGCTGCTTTTCAATGGGAGCCGTGGTGGGGATCACGATTGAGTTTTGGATGGCGCCAACCCTAACTATCCGGCGCTTGCGAGTTTGCTCTTCTCGTGCCGTAAAGCGATAGCCCTTGATGTCAAATCCATTCTCCTGAGCGATATCCGTCGCACTGGCGGGCAGATCCAGAGTTTGGCTACAAAGAAACAATTCATTTAAAAGTAGCAAAAAATCATTATCAGAATTTTAATGCTCGAACTAATTAAATTTTGTATAGCTTTGGCCAGATGTTTTCAACGCAGAGGTAGACCTTTGTGATCTCGCCATATGGTGATGTCGTCAAACTGGTAAGACGCTTATCACTCATATAGTGTGAAAAATAGGCAAGCGCAATGAACCTTTTGTAGGAGTTTCAAAAAACTATCGTCATTTTCGATGCGATATGTTTAAATATTCGTATTATTAAAATGATCTTTTCCCTATTCTCACGTTTTGTTTTGTTTTGCCTCGTCGAAAGTTTCAATATCATCACCAGATGTTCAAAACAAAATACATATACATGGGTATAAGCAAAGACAGCGAAATACTTTGTATTAGTTCTATATTTAAATGTGTTTCGATATAAACAAACGTAAAATTTAGGACATTTTAAGTTAGGTACTGGAAATTTTTGATATGCCCCCTTGTGTTTGCCAAAAGATTAAGATTAAAATATTTTTAGAATTATCATGAGATTTTTAATGGCCACCCCACATGATGTTCTTACTTTGTCAGGCATTCTTATCATTTAAGTGCTATACAGCTGTACTCACTCTTCCTCCACACCGTATAAAATTCGTTTCACCTCCTTCAGTTCATCAGCAGGTAAATGCTTTTCCAAGCAATCATTCAGATTTTTTAGTTCAAATGCCGACATTTTCCCTTAATTTGCAGCAGCAGAGAATCTCATCAATTGAATGTTTCCGATCTAATTAATAGAACAACCTTCTGCGACCAGCGCACTATATGGAATGATTCTGTCGAAGATCGTTTGCTCAGCTTATCTCTACTTCTCACTCTCTCTATTTTCCTATACCTCTGTTATTTTTTCTCTCAGATTTCCTCTCTAGTGTATACAAAAATAGTGAGAAACATTTAAGCACACTCATTGGCATTTGAATAGCATACACAATCACTTCTCACTTGGAGTGATCTTATATTTATTATGAAAACTTAAAACAAATATAGCTTTATATTAATATGTCGTAGCCAAGGTTCGCCTCTAAAAATCTGTAACGTGATAAGACCTTGAAACCGGTTTGTCAACGCCTTGAGAAATGGAACAAACTAGCCTACCTAGAATTTACATTGTATTGCGAAAATTGATCATCAATTCCAAGTTGAGAGAGTAGCTTTCCTCTGAGTGGTTAACATGTAAACTAATTATATTTCTCTAAAGTTATTTATTATAAATGCATTTCGCTCTGAGCTCAATAAAATTATTTTAATTTGAAACTTTTCCTAAAATTTATCTTGACTTAGAAGTGTGACACTTCGATCGATTTTGTTTAAATGGCTGTTCACATGAGTAGTCACCAATATCTTTAGCAATCTCCCAAATATGCAAATAGATCCCATGTGATTTTCTTAAACTTTTGTAAATGTTAAATCAGTTTTGGCACACATCCTTATCTTTCCAGCCTGAGCATCTCCGATGTCAGCCACTTTGCCTGACAGCTGACAGCGTTTGGGCCATTTTGTATTAGAAAAGATTAACTTCGAGCCGAATGTGGGTCGTTGGTGCTTGGAGGCAATGCAAATTACCCGAAATCCTTCTCGGGCGCAAACTGTTTGTTTGTCTAGTTCGGGTGCTCCTTGGTACGCTTTTTGTTTTCTTTTCCAGTTGGCAACTCAATTGAGTGTAAAACAATTTCATTAAATTGACAGTCGTCGCGTTGCTTCCAGCGCACCCGACTTTTCTCCGCGTGTGTTTGTGCTTGCTCGGTCGAAGAGCTTCATGGGGACCCAGTGTCCTCCATTCGGCCACATTCATTTATTGAACAGCGGCAGCAAACCCGGTCCCAAACGGATCCCGATCCGAACGGAATCGAATGGAACCTCATCATTGTCGATGTCGTCTGCTCGCCGGTTTTGTTCTATTTTTATTATTATTTTATTGTCTGGCTGCATTGTCCATGTGGGAGTGGGGAGACCGTAGGAAGGACCTTGCGAGGACCTTCTTGCCATTGCAATTTATCGCATACGCTTTGGAAACATGTTCGCAGGCATTTTTATCATTTCCGCATTTATATGGTTTCCGCTTGAGCTGCAAGCAAACTAAGAAGTGGCTTTCTGCCTTATTGCCCCTGAGATTCCCCTATATCCTTCGTCAGCCATCCTCCGTTGGCCGTCCGACATCCTCCGTCCAGGATGTCCTAGCGGCTGAAACAGAAACCGAACCTCGCTCAGCCGAATGAATTGTTTAGGTTTAATTTATTGTACCGAGATTGGTTATGGGCTTCTGGCCGGGTCGAAATCACACTGTAACACACATATTGCACTGCCCGAAATGAATGACCCGAAAGGGGTTGGGGAATCGATGGGAGGTCCAAGGCCGAAGTTCGACAAAGTTTCAGTTTCCAGTTTGATGACATCAATTTATTCATAAAACCAAGATGCATAAAGATAAATGGAAATGTCTGTGATTTCTGAAGCAATGTAAGAGAAGAAAAGAAGCATGGCGAATTTCTTAGCAGAACGTTAATTAAATTGAGCTAAAGTCAATATTGAGATTTTAGCCTGAAATGTAATTGTATCATGACTAACTAACCAGATTCAATGGCTAGTTAAACAAAATTGTATGGTAATAAATAAGGAAGCCTAATATGTTTATTATTTAAAAAAGAGAAAATGAAATAATTCAGTAAACTTGATTCAAGTAAATTGCCCAGCTAGTAAAATTAATGAACTCTCTTGACTTAGTCACCCGCTTGCCCATGGGCTAATATAAGTATTAAAATTTAATGTTTGTACAAATTAAACTTTACTGAAATAAATACATTTTAACACACATTTTAGGAATTGAACAACTTCACAAATTTTAATTATATAACAATACAGCATGACTGGATAAGACAGCTTGCAGTTTTATAAATTAATTTAATCAATCAAAGTCGTATTAAAAATATGTGTGTTGTAATTTCTGAAAGTCTTTCACAAATTCATACAAATTTAAGTTTGAAACAAATGGTCAACACATGCAGAGGCAGTTTACCCGGGCAAAAAACACTCACCAAAACTTCTTTCCTGTGTAATTTTCAATAAAAAATACAACACTGGAAAGGACAGGAAGCAAAAAATTACAACTCTTACATTGTGTCCATTCTCCTCCATTAAAAAATGGCAAAAAGGGGAGAGTGGGGGCCGAAAGCGAAGGACACAAAAAGGGGCAGCAGGACTTGTTAAGGGTCAGTAATAAATCTCGGCAGCTTGTGCTGTAACTTAAATTAAATGCTGCAAAATCGGCTGGGCAATGGCCAGCTCGTGTGGACTCCTGACAGCCACAAAGGAAAACTACGAGAAAAATGCCAGGGAAAGACAAGAAAATCGCGCCGCACGCAGCCGACTTGAAAAATGAGAGGCAAAAGTGCACCGAGACGTGAGCCGAGCGAAACAAGAACAGAACCCAAATTAAATAGAGTTTTCGAAAACAAGCGGCTAAATATGCTGCAATTGCTGGCTCTGCCGGGCGGATCAGACGACTTTCCCCGACTGCCATTACTCAGTTTTTGCATATGCAAAAGTCGGGCCACCGGGAACGAACCTGCACGTGGCAAACAAAACTGTTGGCCACTTTTTAGCAGCAAAGCGGCAAATTTATGGCTGCCAGCGTTTGCGTGTTGGCAACTTTTTGGCCACTCCTACACATGGAAAAAGAAGAAAATACCACGCTTCGCACACGTAGCACATAGAAGAGTTAAATTGGCAGGCCAGAATAAAAAAATCAAACTGCAAACAAATGAGTTTTCCCATCCAAACTCGGTTATTAAATGGCGTAAACTGAGCCCTCCCTGACTATTCAATTTGCGTTAATGGCCGAAATATCGGCAAGGCTCGATTGGGCCCTCTCAGTTATGGCATGAATATTTCAACGGCATGCCGAAGTATTTCGCAGGAAAATCGGCTTACATCTAATTTGATTTTGCGAAATTATATTTTCATAGAATGGGGTCAAATAAATTTCGTTTGATTTATTTCGTTCCGGTGCGTGGTATTATTCATGATAAATTGGGAGCTAAGCGTCAGCAGTGTTGCCTTTCATGTTCGCAACAATTGCTTTTCGGTCAGACAATCAACGCCGAAAACCAATCTAAAATTTTCCGCCCGAAAACTGCATTAAGTGGGCGGCCAGCGCCGTAAATTAATATGCTGGCGAAACTATAAAATTGAAATTATGGCAACTGCCAACTAATGAACAGCGATAAAAATAAATACAGGCGCTGGCTCTTGCAAACTGGCGGAGAAAGTTCGCCACTTGCACCTGAATGACTTTGGAGCCATCCCGAAACTATGTCAATACATTCTGAGCCAGAGTTCAGAGTCATTGCTTCGAACTCGTCCAAAGTTTCTGAAGTTTCCGCTGCGAAAAGTGTAGCATGTCGTTGTGCGTTCCTTGGCGTCGACTGAGAAATTTCCGAGCGCTCTCCCGAGCACTTCCGACAGGACTCCGGCCCGAAGGCACTTCGGCTCGCTGGAGCTTTCATTCTCTTAGTTTTCCGGCTTTGCAGACTCTCTTAGCGGCGCGAGTGCGATGGGGATATATTGCTTGCGCCGCGAAAACGGGATAGCATCCATCATGCCGCACTGCTCGCTCATGCCGCGAAAGCTCCTCTCCTCGGCGGCTGCCACTTGTGACGCCTGGGAATAACAAACCTTAATAAAGCGTGCTGACTTTCAGTTTGTCAACACAGAGTAAACAAATAAGGAATTTGAAGTTCAAAGTTATAGTGCTGGCTATTTTCTTCTTGCGCCTCAAAAATTAAAAAAAAAATTGTCAAAATTAAGGACGTGTTGAGTCAGAAGTTGCTTGTAATGTCAAAATTTCCATAAGTTTCCTTGGCTTTAAAATCGAAATGAAAAAAATCTTAAACTTAAAAAAAAGAAGTGATTAGGAGAAATGGAGATTTTCTTTGATTAAATGGATTTGAAAAATTAAACATAAATGTATTGCTTAGGACGGTTAGATTTAAATTCAATCAAAAATTTAGGCTTCATTTATTAAAATAACAGTAAATTTATACAATGCTTACAAAAAAGAATAAATAATTGCAAAATTTGAATGGTATTTTAGGTATTTCTGAAATGCTCAAAAAATGTTCCATTTTGATTTTGAAACAAAAACCAATTTTATTTTGCAAGTCATTTTCAGATTTTTCCTATAACACCTGTAAGATATAATCTACAGATGCTGATCAATAACATATGTACATAAATGTATACTTTATAGAGTCGGAAACATCTCCTTCACTGCGTTGCAAACTATAATAAATATAATGGCTTTTATTCAATTATTTGGCCCCCAATATTGCTGATTACTGTTACTTCAACCATTCAGTTGCTTAAGGGTAAAAATTCGACTGTGTTATTACTTATTCATCTTCCCAACAAAGCAAGCTTAGTTCGTACAATTTTTTCCAGTGCAAGCCTATGAGTTTGTGTTTGTGTGCTGGTGGCACATCCAACATTTGGCTTTGTTGGTAGGCGGTGTTGACTTGTTTCCTAGTCGCCGCTTGCTGTTTAGGGATTTGCGCTGCCAAATGAAAGGGTGCGGTGGGGTGCGGAAATGCATTTCGAGTCCGCTGGCCATTGTTGTTGCACTTGTTGTTGATTGTTTGTTGTTTGCATCGCTCACACACACACCCACTAAGTCGGGAGAGGGGTGAAGGGGATTCGGCATGGGCGACAGCTGAGTGGGGCACGTCTGAGCATTTAGCCGGGGAAGAATGTGGGTTAATGGGTTTTTAGTTGCCCTTTTCATTACTCAGCAGGAACCCACATATGAGCCGACTGGAAATTGTTTCGTTGTGCGAAATGCTAATCAAATTGCATTCCACGCGCTTCTTAAGCCCGTCCAAAAGTCCTCTAAGTTCCAGTCAAAGTTTGATTGGCTTTGAGCCTGGGTAAACAGCTTCCTAGTTTGGCCGAAAAACAACAAAGCCCCATTTTCCGCAAAGTTCTAGCCGCATAATAATGGCCACAGTTTCCTTTCTCACGCTCCGCTGATTAACATGTGAAACACGTCAGGTACGCACACTATAAAAAAGGATGACTAAAGAAAAATCAAGGGCAAATCATGATTCATTGGACCTATTGAAATATATGGCGAAAGTTTAGCCCATACCAAATATTACAATTATGTATATTAGTGTTTGTGTATTTTACATTAATTAAAGAGGAAAGTACAAGTAAAAAATTTAATGTTGCTTATATTTATAAACAAATCCCTAAAATCGTTATTAAGTTTATTCCGGGTCAACCTCACACAAAAATATTAATTTAATAATATTAATAAATATTATAAATTTTATAATATTTTTAAGCTAGGTTAAAAAAAATGTTTTTTTAAATGTTAATTTTTTTTTGTTTAAGGCTGTATTTTTTAATCTCGACTGGGTTATGGGAGTTCTCGAAGAAACTTATAAATTAAACGAACCCTTTGGCTTTTTGATTTTTGTTATGATGTACGACAACAGCCATTTTTAATAATGTTTAAAATACGTGAATTTGGATATATTTCAAAACATGCAGTTTTGTAAGTTGAGTATTTATGCTGCGACGATACCTATTTTTTTCAGTGCAATCGCACGCATCAACCTACAAGAGAGTGCACAGCTAATTGAAATTTAATTTAATGACCGCTCTGAGCACGTGGAAAACCTTCGCTGCGATGCAGCCAGGCGTTGGAATATTCGTGGAACTCGCCGCGCCTTCAATCGCTAATTAAATTAGCAGCCGTATGCATGCAGGGAGCGATTTATGAATTACATTCCCGTCCGAAAAGGTGCAACATGGAATGGAGAAAATGGGAAATGCTACACTGACCAAACCGTAAAAATGCCACACACAAAACGAGAATTTTCCTAATTGAACATGTGTCCGACATGCAGGTGCACAGTCCATTCGTATATGCAAGCAATGCAAGCACAGACACAAAGTACACCTTTTGCACTTCGTTTTTGTTTCCACTCCACCTCTTTACAGTTCATTAATATTGCGGGGCCGCAGTGGGGAGGGTTTATTGGAAATTAAAAGCCAACTTCATTTGCGTTCTAGCTGGCTCTGTTGTGCTTTCCTCAGTCTTTTCCACGGTAGTTTCCCATTTTCCCGGTGCCAGCTAATTTAAATTTTTTGCTTGTTTGCTGCGGAATTTATGCTTGACAGCGGGTGGAGACCACACAAATTGAGGCATAAATTCGGTTGCATTCCCATCTCGTTTCTTTGTTAATTTAAACATAGCTTTGGCCACGAATATTAACTAATAAATATGCGAGCTGGGAGTTTTTTACGTCAAGGTAATGGGATATGTGTTTTGACAGCTGAACAAGTTTGGTAATTTTGTTTTGATAAAAACTTTATTTATCATTCAGCTTTGAGTTTTATGGAAATAAAATAATACTTATAAACTTCAAATTTGTTTCAAAATTAAACTAAACATTTTTTATTAAATCACGAATGTCAAAAATATAAAAAATCGGGTAATGAAAATCCTTGTTTGTTAGCGATAACTTATTTAAACCAAAATTACATTTTTACTTTTCATATTTTATACATAAGCTCATGAAATTTTGCAAAAATATTCAGCTTGAAATTCACATTTCTGTAGTTTGAATTTCCCTGTTGGGGCCATACATTCGTAATAACTTTAATGGCAGACACTTGATGGACACTTGAAAGTGTTTTTAATTTCAATTAATATACAAGACACTCAAGGGTAAAAATACAGACCCAGTGAAATCGACACACAAGTGACTCGGGTCCCTGACCAGGACTCAACTCAATCTCAATGGCTCCGAGCGGAAATCAACTCAAGTGGCGTCTGCCTTTGATGGCTGGCCCGTCGTCCATCTGCAGTTGCAGGGAAGAGTCGGAAAAAGCGGAGCAGCTGCAAAGGGGACCGTAAATGCCTTAAAGTTTGCTTAAACTTTCGCCACTGGCCAAGAAAATTAGCAACGATACCCCGTCGTCGGCTTAGGGGCTCCTGCGCCATAATGCCCTCATTAAGGGTTAAGCCAAAGTTAAAGTTTCAGCGCTGGCAAAAAAATGTTCCGACATGTTCTGTGCGGCTGGAATATCCTGCCCTAAGCAGGAAAATTATTAAACAATGCCCAGGGACTGCAGGACGAGGTGGAGATGAGACGAGCCCGATGACAATTAGGACCCTGGTGCATGCAGCTATGAAAATGGCAAAGTGCTGACCTAAGCCCACAAACAAAATGGTATACTATGGAACTACGACGAGACGGCAAAAAAGTGTCACAGCAGCTCAACACAAAAACTCGAATTCCGAGGGCCCGAGTTCGACTCCGGCTGGAATGGCTACGGGTACGGGTGAGGCTAAGGGTACGGGTACTGAAACTGAACCCGGACGGACAAATGGACGGGTGGACATGACGAAGTGTCAGTGGCTCAGAGCAACGAAATCCCAATGTAGCCAGTGATAAGGCCAACTACAGAGCCACGTGTTTGCTTTTCAATTTGTGCCAGCAGCCGGCTGTGGAATTATGAATAGGCCGGAACAAAAACAAAGCGGCCAACAGCCCAACAGCAGATAGACATCGTGAATGGGCCAAGTGGAACGACTTTCTGGGGGCGATGACGGGCCAAGGGGACTGAAACGGGGACTAACGGGGGTTACACGGAGCGTTGGAGCATTCATTGAAGCTAAACAGGATGTGAGGTGCTGGGTGGGATTCCAGGAATAAAATCGGACGGGACGAGGTAGTATGGGTTGGTGTGGGATGAGATGGGAGGACCACGCTTCGATGCCGACAGGCAAAGGAAAACAACTTTTGCAAAAGTTGTACTCGATTTGTGTTCTACTTTAGAGCTCCTGTTCGTCCTCGTCTTTCCTCTTCTTTCCTGTTTTTTACATCACTACTTATGGCAAGCTGCATCGCATGAAATGCAAATGTTAATCTGCAAGGATTCAAAGTCGTCCTGGATGAGCATACAAATTTTATGGTAAGCTCTCTGATCGCTCCAACAATTTCGATAAAAAGATAAAAAGAGAGAGTTCAGAGCTCGAACTACTCAATCAATTCCGTTTAGGATGAAGTAAAGGTGTTCATAAAAATGGAAATTTGTTCAAGCCTCTGATATTTTATTAGGTTGCATTTAAATAAATCCGACTTTTTTATCTTTTGAGTGTCTTTAGAATTTAGTGTCAAAAATAGAGTTGATCGGAATTATCAAAATTTGAATTACATTTAGTATAAATCAGACCAGCCATCAAAGTGGCCTGGACTAAACTCATACAGATAGTTAAAAAACAATTTACACATCAGCACTCATTCATTAAAAATATAAAAAATATAAAAAAAACTCATCCACAGAGATAAACCTCTTTTTAGAACCACCTTTTAAAATGGAAGAGGCGCAGGAGCGGAAAACCATGATCCAGGAAAAGAGAAAATTAATGGGAGACAAGAGGATGAGCATGGGAATGAAGTCATTCTACGCTTCTTTTATTGGGAGCATTTTTCGAATGAGCGACGAGCCGCGAAACTCGTTTTCAACCATGTTCAAGCGGCACAAGGCTGATAGCAAATATGTGGATGTTAATTTTCATGCTGAAGCCGATGAGGAGTTCGTGCCTATTTATCACACTGTATTCGATGACGACAGGGACCCCGTGCTTGAGCCCACTTTCGCAAAACACCGCATACCCCTGTGAGAATAAAAAAGAGTGTGTGTTGGGGCAAACACAAGCACACTTTATTTTTGTATTTTTTAGGCAAATTCGATGTCTGGAACGTTATCACAATTCTAAACTTGGCTACGCCCAGCAGTTCAAGCGGGAAATACAACTCTTGATTGACAATCAGCCGACGGCCGAGGACGCCTGGCAATTCGTAAGGTAAGCCTAGCTGTATTAACGTAATTATTCTAATACACAGTTATAATAAAAATCTGTTTATTTTTATATTTTCTAGGACCATGGCTTATACCACACTTTGGCCGCCGCTTCACACGAGAAAAGAGCTCAAGATTTTTGAAAAGGACTTTTGCAAACTGTCTCCTGCTGAACAGAATCGCTACAACAAAATAATGGCGACAAATTTTACTTAAGTGCTCGAATGTCAAATATCTTATCTAAGTAAGAGAAGGAAAATTGCCAATTAAATTTATAAATGTCTTAAAATTTTTAATAAAAATTGTAAACCATTTTTTTTTTTTGAAAATGCATCTGAAGAAAAATAGTCTTTCATACAATCTTTAATCCATAAAAAGAAGCCTCATATTCTGAATAACATAAGCTTTTGCCTGAGTATTTTGAGAATCTGAGTCTCAAAAGCTGCAATAAAGTTTATCTCTCAGTTGTGACAAGCTGAGCTCAAGACTCTCGATCGGCTTGAAAGCTTTTCCCAGCGCTTCTCTCTAGCGCTAACTCTCATCGATTATTATCTGCGATCGCATTTAAAGGTCTGTCGTCCGTCAGCTCGCGATCAGTTGTCTTGGCGTCGACGATCGTAGTTTAAGTTCCCTTCCCGGTTCTCTGGTTCGAGGTCGCCGTGCGTAATCGCAAAGACGCGTTTTTATTGAATTAGCTGTGCATTTTGTTATTACGATTTGTGGGAAATATCCCGTAAGATGAAGTCAACACGCCGAGTAGCTGGGATTTTTTGGGCCACCTGCCTGCTGCCGCTCACCGTTCTACAAACACAAAGTATTCAGGCCCAAGGAAGTTAGTACCACGTTATATGTGAATCACTCAGAGCTGACTCATTAATGGAGACCGGTACTTATCCACGTTAAGCGCAATAGCCTAACTGAGATTCAATGTGATAATCAGACTTGAACTTTACCAGTTTCCCATGTCAATGACTTAATTAATCGCACTCGTGTCGTTTTAATAACTCCTGAATGAATTTAATGGTTCCAATCGTCGAACAGCAGATTACGTTATCAATTTTACGGATAAGAACGAAGTTTAATTGTATATTTTATATTGTCAATTAGGCAACTCTCGTTCTTTTTGAATGTTTTTTTAAAGCTTTGTTATTTACAAAAAAAAATTAAGCGTACAATTTGGTTTATTGTTTAGCTTTATGTCCGTTTATCTTGGTGAATTACATTTACTCCTTAAATAAATTATAATGACAGTTATTGAAATGAATACACTGTGCAGCATTTTTAGTGCTTTTTAAATTTACCTCGATGGATGCTATATTTTTGGATTCGTTACGAATTCCCAAGTTAAACTGCGTTTTCCAAAAAGTTCCCCGACGCAAGGATTCTTAGCAAAAGGACCTCAAAGTTCGAAAAATGCTGAAATTGGCCAACTTTGCGGAGCTCTCAGAGGCAAATGGATGCATGGATTGATTCGATGTTAAAGTTTTTTAAAAGATACACACTTTATCTTTTAAACCCCATACCTAAAAATTTTTAAGGTTTTTTTAAGGCAGAAACAAATTCTAGAAATCATAGTCAAAAAACATAAAAGTACACAGCTGCGGTCAAAATGGTAGTAGTGTTGCCGCCCTGTGTATTTAAAAGTTTGTTGTTGTAATTGATCTTTTCCTGGTAATATTGTATTGATTATAATTTTACTATTAGACTAATTGGATTAGAAAAATTACAACATCAAACTTTTAAAAACACAAGGCGGCAACACTGCTACTATTTTGACCGCAGCTGTATGTTTTTCAGTTTTTTGACTATGTTTTTTGGAATTTATTTCTGCCTTAAAAAAAATCCTAAAATTATTTTATGTATGGGGTTTGAAAGATAAAGGGTGTATCTTTTAAAAAACTTTAACTTCGAACCAAGCCATGCTTCCATTTGCCTCTGAGAGCTCCGCAAAGTTGGTCAATTTCAGCATTTTTCGAACGTTGAGGTCCTTTTGCTAAGAATCCTTGCGTCGGGGAACTCTTTGGAAAACGCAGTTTAACTTGGGAATTCGTAACGAATCCAAAAATTAAGCATTCATCGAGGTTAATTTTTGATGCTGCATAGTGATATTAATAGGCTTTTGAATTGGACTGCTTACATTTATGTCAAATACCTAATACAAAATAAAAAATTATTCATCAAGTTTATTATTATTGCAAGGTGTTACGTATCTTGGATTTCCCGAGTTCTCTTGCTGTCCAATTTTTTAACAAACAATCATTTCATTATACGCGTTACTCGTTTTCATTGTGCAGGCTGTAGAAACCCCGATCAGAAGCAGGGCCGGTGCTTGTCCATATACGACTGTCCAACTCTGCTTTCTTTGGTCCAGCAGGCATCCGTAAGCACACAGGACAGGGTGTTCCTACGCAACTCGCAGTGCTCCGATGGAGTGGGCCGACTGCCGTTTGTTTGCTGCCCTATTGATCGGAGTTTTGAGCCTCAGGAAACCACGTCTGCAGCACCTCCAGTGACGCCAACCAGTTCAAGTCAGCAGGGTCAACAGGGTCAGCAAGGTCAGGGCAACCTGTTGCCCTCGCCACCAAAATGTGGGCCACACTCCTTCAGCAACAAGGTCTACAATGGCAACGACACGGCTCTGGATGAATTCAGCTGGATGGCCCTGCTGGAATATGTGGATCGTAAGTGGATTTTGATATACTGATTAAATTTTAACTTCATATTTGTATTTCTTTTTTTAAAGGTAGAGGACAGCACGAGCTCAGTTGTGGCGGAAGTCTGATCAACAATCGTTATGTCCTCACCGCTGCTCATTGCGTTATTGGTGCCGTAGAGAGTGCTGTTGGTCACTTGTAAGTATAGGTGTTAATTTAAAAAGTAACGTTCGACATTAATTGTTTAGTCTTGTATATTTAAATGTCTCAATAAGAAAATACTATAATTTTTTTAAGAACTTTTATTTTAGAAGGATGCCTTAAAAACGAAAACAAATGTTTCTTAAAACACAAAATGTCACAAGAGCGGAAAAAATTCTAAAATCAAGAAATGATGATCCGTTTATAAGGGAGATTACATTCCTGAATTCAATGGCGATTTTTGCCTTAAAAAACGTATTGCGACAGCATAAAAAACAAGCAAGACTTAAGATTTATATTTTTAAGAACATTTTTTTCTGGAATTTTGTTTATTAAGAAAGGATTTCTATATTTAAAGGCTAATTTTTTAATAAGAACTAATTTGTTTCTATATTCAAAGGCTGGCCGATTCAAAGGCGAGATTTCAAAAATTAAGGTCTACCTGATAAGACTTTGATACGATTCGAAAAAATGGAGCTGAATATAAAAGTGTTGCATACAACATTTTCATCCTAAAATGTTAATTAATTTACATATCTTTTCCAGAACTACCGTTCGATTGGGAGAGTACGACACCAGCAAGGAAATAGACTGCATAGATGGCGTATGCAACCAGCCCATCCTTGAAATGGGCATTGAACAGCGCATTGTACATCCCCAATATGATCCTGCCAACAAGGACCGCATCCATGACATCGCCTTATTGCGTCTAGATCGACCTGTTTTGCTCAATGAGTTTATTCAGCCGGTTTGTTTGCCTTTGGTCAGCACACGAAAGGCCATCAACACGGGAGAACTTTTGGTTGTCAGCGGATGGGGACGTACCACAACAGGTAAGCTTAATAGGACATTTTTATAGGAACTAAAAAAAATATTAGAAAATTTAAAAAAATATGTTATTAAAGGAAATAACTTTCTTGCAAAATATAATGTTTAATGTAACATTTATATTGCAGTTTCATGTTAAATTTTTATTAAAGAATTACATTTAAATTTAAATTGGTCATAAATCATAATTTTTTTTAAAAAATTTTTAAACAAAGTCAAATTTAAATTAAATTTGTCTTTTTATTCATTATTTTAATAATTGAACATTGTTTGCTTATTCTTTAAATTACTTTGAATTACTAAATACGTCGGGAATAATATTTTAAGCTTCAGACTATACAACCTCCTAAAAAATGTATAATATTGTATTGATTATATTCCCTATCCTGCAGCCCGCAAGAGCACCATCAAGCAGCGTTTGGATCTTCCGGTGAATGACCACGATTCCTGCGCCAAGAAGTTTGCCACCCGAAATATCCATCTGATCAGCTCGCAGCTCTGCGTCGGTGGGGAATTCTACAGGGACAGCTGTGACGGGGACTCAGGCGGACCCTTGATGAGGAGGGCATATGACCAGTTCTGGTACCAAGAGGGCGTGGTCTCCTTCGGCAACCGCTGCGGACTGGAGGGCTGGCCAGGTGTCTATACGCGGGTTTCCGACTACATGGACTGGATTCTGGAGACGATTCAGCCCTGAGCACCGAAACGAAGGCCGCTTTTGTCCAACCAGTGTTTTAATTAAAGTCAAGTCGAGAGTGTTTTTAGGGCCATGGCGCCCATCTTTTAATTAACTTGCATTCGATGCGATTTTATCAGCTGCTGCTGCCACGCTGCGTATACGTAATGCGCTTACAGCCGAGCGCCGTTTGCGGTAATTAAAATCGCTGTTCCCGGTTTGGTAAGAGTCGAGTGGAATAACTTTCGAGATGCGGAGAACTTGCCCAGCGGCACCTTCTTAGCGCCCTCAACGATTTTCTATGCAATTTGGCAATGAATTTCTATTATGCAAGCAACGCTTTTCTGGTTTTCCCGCGCTCCCCATCCCAAAGTTTGCACTTGTTTGCTGGCTGATTGCATTGCAGGCGTGGCGAGGCTAGAAAACAAAGTAGACAATGGCTTGGCTCATTAATTGTGTGCGCGCAGAAAGGTTAATGATGCCTGCAGGAACCAGTTAGCACGGACAAAGGGACGGTACCGCCTTTGTGGCCTGGGTTTCTTGACCAAATTTACTGAGTAAACGTAAAATGCGAACCCAAAAGTAAATGAAGAAGTAAACAAATATTTTAAAGTTATTTCGAGAAATTAAACTTAATTTCACCATCTTTATTTAGAAACACATTTTTAGTCTGTATCAAAATGCTAAGGTGTGTTTCAAAACTATACTTCACCAAGACATTTTTATACCCGTTGTCGTGGAACGGATTAACATATCGCTCAAGGTTTAGCAAATTTAAATGTAGCGCCAAGTATTTCAGTATTTGTTATCGATGTTGTAAATCGTTAGAGAGATTATATTGTAAAGCTAAATGCGGTCACACTAAATGGTGAATTGTAAGCCAGAATCTCCCGCTCAGATTTATTCCGATTGGAGAGATCAAAGAGACTGGGAGGCGAGACTGCGGTATGTAAAACTGATTGTGAAAATAGGTTAAATCTGATATATGTATTTCATACAGAATAAAACATCATCGTTGTTTGTTTATGAGTCAAAATCTGCCAAGTGGGCCACCCCTGTTCCGAAGGTCCGATTTTCATCGAACTTTTTTACTTTTCCGGTTTACAACGAAAATATAAGAACTTCATTTGAACGGTTTTGCGAAATTTTGAGTTTTACCGGAGTTATAGGGGTCAAAACGTGGCATTTTTGACACTTTTTCGAAAAAGTTGCACTCAGTCATTAATTTATAACTTCGGAACGGTTAGATTTATCTTTATGATGTTTTCACTAATCGATCAAGAATTAATATGGCTTTCCATAAAAAAATTTAAAAAAAAATTAACAAGAAAGGAAGCTAGCTTCGGCAAGCCGAAGCTTATATACCCTTGCAGATCATTCTATTAATTTACAAATCGCAAAAATGTTAAATTTCTTATTATTTCACATTAATTTTTCGATCGTTTCTATCACAGCTATATGATATAGTAGTTCGATCTTTTAAAAATTAAAATCGAAATTCGGAAATATTTCAAAATAGTCATATCCCAGAGTAGAAAGGAATGTAATAAAAACCAACAAAGATATAATTTTTTTCCCATTAATTTTCATTTAATTTTTCGACCGTTCCTATGGCAGCTATATGATATAGTGATCCGATTTAAAAAACAAAAAAACCGAAATTCAGAAATATATAAAAAAAAATATTCCCAAGAGTAGAAGGTAAAATTTTAAAAAACACCGGAGCTAGAATTTTTTTACGTTTTTTTTTTTTGATCCTTCCTATGGGAGCTATAAGATATAGTTGTCCGATCCGGTTGGTTCCGACATATATACTACCTGCAATAGAAATACGACTTTTACGAAAGTTTCATCCCGGTAGCTTTAAAACTGAGAGACTAGTTTGCGTAGAAACGGACGGACAGACGGACGGACAGACGGACGGACAGACGGACGGACAGACGGACATGGCTAGATCGACTCGTCTTGTGATGCTGATCAAGAATATATATACTTTATGGGGTCGGAAATGTCTCCTTCACTGCGTTGCAAACTTCTGACTGAAATCATAATACCCTCTGCAAGGGTATAAAAATTTTTGTTCTTAAAAATAAATCAACATTTTTTTTTAGTTTTTATTTTTTTCAGTGTTCTTCACCAGCTATAGAGTTTAAAACCATTTGAAAATAAAGTTTGATTCATTACGAAAAAGATCCAAAAAAAAAAGAGTGGCCCGGCCAAAGGTTTTTCGCAATATCGATTTGAAGAAGGGCGCACAGCGGTTTCCCATACAAAAACGGCTTGCTCGTGAAAATTGGCTGGTCAACACATGCCGTAGCGAGCGTAGCGTCAGCTGTCAATGGGGGACTTTTTGCCGTTTTGTATGGGAAACCGCTGTGCGCCCTTCTTCAAATTGATATTGCGAAAAACCTTTGGCCGGGCCACTCTTTTTTTTTTTTGGATCTTTTTCGTAATGAATCAAACTTTATTTTCAAATGGTTTTAAACTCTATAGCTGGTGAAGAACACTGAAAAATAAAAACTAAAAAAAATGTTGATTTATTTTTAAGAACAAAAATTTTTAATTTTTTTTACATTTTTTTATGGAAAGCCATAATAATTCTTGATCGATTAGTGAAAACGTCATAAAGATATCTCTAACCGTTCCGAAGTTATGAATTAATGACTGAGTGCAACTTTTTCGAAAAAGTGACAAAAATGCCATGTTTTGACCCCTATAACTCCGGTAAAACTCAAAATTTCGCAAAACCGTTCAAATGAAGTTCTTATATTTTCGTTGTGAACCGGAAAAGTAAAAAAGCTTGATGAAAATCGGACCTTCGGAACAGGGGTGGCCCACTTGGCAGATTTTGACTCTTATGCTATTGTTCTACGCTACAAGACTGGCTTTCTTGTTTCGGTGTTGGCTAAGCAACGTTAAAGGCAACTCCCAGGGGATCTCTTTCGGTCGGCGTCATTTCTTTTATTCGCACTCCTTTATCGTGCTATGCCGACTTCACATTCACCCCGGCGGAGCCCCCGAATTGGACAGACGGGAGCTACCGCAGCTGCAACTACGACCACCGCGACCACATCAGCCGGCACTCCGAAGAATGCGCCGGGCTTATCGGGCGGTGAGCTGCAGCGGCCACGGACTCCAAAGCAACCGGGATTAATCCCAAGTGGTGCTCCAAAGCTTGATAGATCAGGCCAGGATACGGACACCACAACCGCCAAGTTTGCGGCGCTGATGGAGAGGATCGCTTCCTTGGAAAGGGAGCTTCAAAAGGCGAGGTCAGGTGAAGGGCAAGATGCAGCCGCGAGGGATCCCGTTAGAAACGGATCAAGCGGTATAGGAGCGAGCGGTGCGGCGAATGCGCCGCCATGTTTGAGTGCAACGCCAGGGCAGAACTTGAGTGGAAATCTGCCGCCATTGTTGAGTGGAAATCTGGCACCGAATTTGGCTGAGTCAGTGACGCCATTTTTACATGAACAGTTGCCGCCATTATTGAGTGGAAACCTGCCGCCACAATCGAGTGGAAATCTGGCAATAGGGCAACAAGTCACACTCAGTACAAACAGTACAACGTTAAGCTATTCCACACCATGCTGCGTGACGGCTACTGTGCAGCCAGCACTAAGCTACATGCAAGCACCGCGGGAACCTCTTCGCAACCTGATGGTACCCCCGCAATCAACTGGTTCATACGGAATAGCTTCGCCGAGCCCGTTAATTGGATGGACGCCGCGCAGACTGCCTGATCTTCCAGAGTTCGAAGGTCAGCCTGAGGAATGGCCAATATTCCAATGCGCGTTCACGGAGACGACGGCGGCGTATAATTGTACTGCGTTGGAGAACAACCAGAGGCTATTGAAAGCCCTGAAGGGTGAAGCGCGAGCATCTGTCAAGTCGCTGCTTATACACCCGAATAACGTTCAGGCTGTAATGGATCAGCTACGTTTCCGATATGGACGCCCGGAGCAACTGATTCGTAGCCAACTGGAAAGCGTGCGAGAGGTGCAGCCGATCCAAGAACACAATATAATAAAGATCGTGCCGTTTGCAACACGGGTCAGCAATCTCGCAGCGTTTCTACAGTCAAGTCCGAACGGGGAGCAGCACCTAGGAAATCCTACCTTGATGGAAGAGCTGATCGCCAAGCTACCACTGAGCAAAAGGTTGGATTGGGCCAGGCACGCCGCCCTAATAGGGTGCTACCCAACTGTCGCGCACTTAAGCGAATGGCTAAACGAACTCGCTAAATTAGTGTGCACTATTACGAGCGGCGACAGCAAGGATCCTAAGCGTAGGGTATTGCACGCCAGCACCAGTCAGAAGGATCAGGATCTATTTGAAGATCACCCCAGGAGTTGCCCAATTTGCGAGGGGCAACACACGATCAAGGACTGTAAGGATTTCAACCAAGCTACTCCGACTGCCCGTATGGAGTATGTAAGAAAGCATCGGATTTGTTTCTCGTGCCTGGAGAGCGGTCACATGTCCAGGTTCTGCAAGAAAAACGGGAAGTGCAACGTCTACGGATGCCAGATGAGGCATCACTACCTCCTGCATGACGGGGTGGGCAACCCCACACGGCCATCGCAACTCCACGGTCGACCATGGCCAAATGAAAGGAGCGATCGCGGTCGCATGGTACATGCGGGCGCTGACAGGAGGAAGGTGGACACGCAAGTGCATCAGCCAGATGATCTGGCCCAGAGAAGTCCGCTTACGGCATCTGCACAGACGCAGGATGCATGGCGCAAGCGGGACGAAGGCCGTCAGCCAAGTGACGGGAATGGATTGCCACATCGGAACCTAAGTTGCGTCGATCCGGATGGAGGACACTTACTATTCCGTATTTTGCCCGTGACGCTGTACGGGGAGGATACGCAGCTGGATACCTACGCGCTGTTCGACGAAGGTTCGTCCGTGACCCTGATCGACGAGGAGCTCACTCGAAGCCTAAACCTAAAAGGCGAGAGTCGGCAGCTCAACATTCAATGGTTCGGTGGCAAGTCAGCGAAAGAGAACACAAAGATGGTCAGCCTCCAGATTAGTGGAGTGGGCAGACCGAAACGCCATGCTTTGAAAAATGTGTAT